ACTTGTTGCCGGTCTTGGCTGGCGTGGTGGAGTCGACTTCGCCGCTGAAACCATCGCCACTGCCGCCACCATAGCTTGGAGCACCGGCGCCAACAGGGGCGTCCATGGGTGTGATGGTGGGGCCGACAATGGACGTCTTGCCGATAACATCACTCACGGTTAGGGCGAAACTGTGCAGCACCTGTTTGCGTATACAAACGAACAAGCAGACGGACGGACAGCCAGACGAACAACAGACAAGTAGACAAGCAGGGAGACATGCAAAGAGATGTGGGGTGAAGAAGGCGTGCACGTGTGTGTGTGTGTGTGTGTGTGTGTGTGTGTGTGTGTGTGTGTGTGTGCGTGCACGCGTGTGTGTGTGCGTGTGTGTGTGTGTGCGTGTCAAAGACAGACACAGAGACATTTCAGAGAAAGTGTGTACGTGATTGAGTGAGCGAGTCACAAGCAAACATGTCTTCCCTAATCCCACTGCTGGACAATGATATACACTCTTCTGCATAATATACATATACTCAAGTCTGTGGACAGCAACTGTTTCGCTCTGTTAGAGCTCATCAGCACAGCTCAGAGGACCGAAGCGCAGCTCTTCGCAATGAAATACCTTTCCGTGAAACAAAGCATTTAAATATACATGTAGATATATTGTCATGTATCGCCTTGGCAGTGCGTGGCGGGTGTGTTCGATTACGCCCGTGAATCGATTCATGAATGGAATCTCGTGCATTCAAGTCGTTCGATGTTCACGTCGTCATCAGCCCTGGAATTGGTTCGTAATCAATTCACCCTATTCATAAGGCGTGATGAGAATAGCCAGTAGTAAGTCATGAATGGGTTCAACATCGATTCGTGGGCAAAATCGAACTCACTCAGCGTTCACAGGCAGGCCTGGAGCCAGCTCCTGAGAGGTGGTACGGGCCTGGGTTGGCTACAGGACCGATCATTACCCATGTCCAACTTCTGTATCATGGGGAGGATGAACCCCTAGCTCAATGCAACACTTTGTATCTGGTTGTTTCAGCTGAGCATCCCGTTAGCAACAGATAGAGCTAGCGCAGTAGAGTAGACATTGGATAGGACGAACAGGTTAGGAGTGAGAGATCTTTAGCAAGAGTGTGTAAGAATAGTCTTTTAGCACTTCTACATTAGTAATCTCAGGCTAGCTGACATTCCATGAGCGCTGGAGTTGGTAAAAAACAGGTGCGGCCATGGCTGTACCCATCGTATCAGTGGCGCCGGCTCTGACAGTACTAACCTCTTCCGTTTCCAATGTCGCCTTTTCGACGGCAACCGGGTCGGTCAGGTCGGTGGTTGCCGCGGTGCGCTGCAGCAGTGCCGTGGCCTGCGACTGTACCGTGTCCAATACAGTCGATACGGCCTGTATACCGGCAGAGTCGAATCTGGTGACGTTCTTGACGGCTGCCTGGGTGCCCTTGGTGACGTCGAGGATCGTAGTGACCGTGGCGTTGCTTGCCTGTGCATGGGTGTGAAGTTTGGGGCAGCGACGGCCGCGAGTGAATGAACGTACATAAGCACACATGCACACGCGCGTGCACACACACAATTAACGACACAATCAATAACACACAGCCAACCTAACACACACCTATAAACATGCCCGCCCCCCCCCCCCCCCTCCCTTCCTCTCCCCCATCCACACACACACAGAGGTAAAGATAAACACGCATGCCAGACCGTCCTCTCAAATCCGAAACTTCGCCTTCGCCCTTCACTTACGTTGAACTGAGAGATCTGCACGGCCAGTTTCTGCAACTTCTGCGTGGCCTGTTCTCGGCCAGGGCAGGCTAGTGTAACCTCCTCGCCTCCGTCCCAGCGAGGCGCACGACGGTCGCCAACGGCAACGCAGCGACGGCTCACGCGACTGGGCAGGCCGGCCACCGTCTTCGGGCAGTCCAGGGTTGCCGTGGCGCCAAGCTGGGTGCGAGGCCACACGAACGTTCCGAGTCCGCTCACGCTCTCGCTGACCTCGTTGCAGTACAGCGCGACGCCTGAAGTTGTCGGCAGCTGGGTTGTTGATGGTGTCGTTGGCGGTGCTGTAACAAGACACAAACAAAAGCAGTAACACAGGCGTGCGGTTATCAGATTTCCTGACTGCCCTCATGCATGTAGAACCGCTGCCCATAACGTACAACACACACCCACATACAGTCAAACCTGAATAAGACGACCGATCAATGGACTTTCAAAAATGTGGTCTCTGTTGCCAGGTGGTCTCCTTATCCAGGGCCGTTTCACTGGAAATAGCATCCCTTGATCCTGGGTTGTGGTCTTCTGGGACAGGTGGTCGCATTGACAGGTTTTACTGCACATATTGAATGATAGTAAACATTGAGACATCCGGGTACAGTAAAAACTCCCCTATTAAATCCGGGCACGGCCGTGTACCGGGCGGGCGCCTTTCTGACCCATTTTTTGTTTTCGATCTACAGGTTGCGGTAGAAACTACTCATTTCGGTAGAGGTGTTCGGTTTCTTTTTCTCTACTCAAAAGCGTAGGCTCTACAGTCAACGTCGCGTATAACGACACTCGGCGGGGCATCAGAAAAGTGTCGTTATTCGCGAAGTGTCGTTATATCCGAAGTCTCGTTATATGTATGACAAGTGGATGGGACTTTGCTCTGGGCATGGAAATTCTGTCGTTATTCGCGAATTGTCGTTATATCCGCAGTCGTTATCAGCCAAGTTGACTGTAGTTTCCTCTACCAGAAAAAAAGTTGGTAGAAGCCGGTAGAAGTTGGCAGAGCTACGGGATTTCCAGCAAAAGCAAGGAATTGTACACAACTCCATACAGAAGAGAAACATTCCCTGTACATATCGTGAAAACTACTAAATCCGGTAGAATAGCGTTCGTGCACTTGCCTCTACCATCTACCTCTAACGGTAGAGTGACTCTACTCTACTCTACCAGGTCGCTAAAAACGAACGCTGCCTTCAGCTGTGTTCACAACTGGCGTGTGTACGCGTGAAACCACGCGTTGGTGCGTATTTTTGCTGGCTTTTGGGGCGCCATGCGTACGGAAACGCGCCGAAATGGAAATTCCAACATGTTGGAATTTTCAGCGCATATCAGGCGCGTACTAGCGTACATGCCAGTCACCTTGACAAGCGGGGTAAAAAAATACAGTATTATCTCTAATATAAGCACAGTCTCCAATAATAGCACGTCTCCAATAATAGAACACCTTGGGGCGGCATTCAAAAAATAAAGTGCTCAGTCTCCATTATAAGCACACTGTGTAAATTCATTATCTGTACCGGCGAAAAAACCCTGAATGTGTGTGTCTGACATGAATTTGGCATGGCAACATGCCTCTGAAATGAAGTTGAAATAATAATGGAACAGTCTCCAATAAAGGAACGTCTCCATTAATAGCACGGGGCGGAGGTACATTGAAAAAATAAAGGACCGTGCTTATATTAGAGATAATACGGTAGTACTCGAAGGTGTCGCACGCGCTAAATACGACTCGGATTGCGGTTTTTTTGTGAAAGCCTGAGCGCGCGTTTGGGCACGCATGAACCGCAAGCGTACCGCGTACACGCGCCAGTTGTGAACACAGCTTTAGAGTCACGAAATTGGCTTTTCAACGAAAAACAGCCCCAAACTATTGATTGGCATAAAAAATCTTTACTTGCATGCAGTGCGTCTGCAAGTTCTGCGTTACGGGAAATTTCTAGTTACGGGCGGTGCTCGGTCCCAACCTGCCCGGATTGGGGTTTTTTAAACCTTTCAGGCCACACGTTTCTATTTCTATGTTTCTAGTCACCCGAAAATCTAAAATCGTACGCGAGACGTGGAAAAAATGACCAAAAAAATAATAAAAAGTTTACTTGACCTTTTTGGTCATACTAAAATCGACCAATAGACCTTTTTCAAGGTGGTACCGACGGCCACTTGTTGGGATCACATGCGAGAATGTTTTTTGAATCGCTGGTGAACAGGCGAAGCCCAGTTCACGTTCACTTTGTATGGGAATGGATGCGTGGAGGTGAAAGAAGCAGTAGAATGGCGCTCCACTTGATGTCCGACACTCGTGTTGAGTCAGAGCAGTTGCCAGGAAGCTCTTCCATGGCTTGGGCGAAAAAGAACAAGCTTCAAAAATCACTCCAAGCGCAGGTGGAGACGAACCTGTCAGATTTCGTATACTTTTCAATGCATGTTGACATGCGACATGTTCACCACAATCTCGGGGTGATTGCCGGGGCGGTAGGAGGAAAAGGCGTCCTTGAAAAAGCTCTAAACACCGTAGTAAAACAGCATCCAAAGTTAGCAACTCGTACGTGGTAGGAGGCTATGTGCACGTGCAGCTAGATTGCGCAGCAAAAACCGCATGCAGTGCAGGTACTGCGCTGAGTGGCCTGCACAGCATGCACGGCATGCGTGGGCCGAGGCTTGAAAAAGACCCGCTCACTTGCAGTCAGTACACGGTCAGTCAGTCTCGCATACAACGCTAGCGACCTCGCAGCGTGTGTCGCGCAGGCCAGGCCAGGGTGTACACACGTGCATGTGCTGGTCCCAGCACAGTGCAGCACAGTATTTCTTTCCCTCTTCCAGATTCCTGAATCGTTTGCGCGCGGGTGACGGGAAACATAGAAGTAAAAACACGTGGCACGGATACACGGATATCCCCCCCCCCCCCCCCAGCTTGGCCAAAACCCTGATATTGCCCACCTGACCAAGTATTCTTACGAGTATCCTTACCTACGGTATTTTATTTTTAATTTTTGCTCTTATTTTACTAGGGAGTTCCCAACCGACAACATCGCTTTTTGCAGGGAACCGTACACGCCAGAGTGGTCACACGCCAGCATAAGTTTCGCTCGCAGCTGAGTCGAGAATGCAAACGCCACCAGGGAACCCGGTGCTGGAAAGCCAGTTTATTGCAGAGAACAGGACAGCATGGACACGGCACGGCTGCCTACTAGTACTTTCGCTCCTCATGCTGTCAAACTCGTATCTGCTTGCGCTGACATGGAACTGAGCATACGGACTCTCACAAGAGATTCGGTGTGCTGGAAAGCCAGTTGCGACAATTTTATTGAACTGGAAGTACAGTGAAGTACTGTTCATCCACATGCATGCACACAAGCAACCCCCCCCCCCCCCACGCGCACACACACACGCGCGCGCGCGCGCAGACACACACCCTCCCCCACCCACCACATGCACACACAGATACCTCCCCCCCCCCCCCACACACACAACCTCCCACATCTACCCACACAAACACACCCACCCCACATGCACATACAGATACTGTATAGCAGGAAATTTTCGGACGGAAATATTTTCGGACAAAGCCGAATTTCGACCTTTCGTACAGATTCTATTTTCGCACAGTGCTAGCTATGCTGCATGCTAAATACACGTGTTCGCAAGCAGTAATGCATGCTATAGTGTGCAAATGAATTGCGCGTTTACATGACGCATTGCGCTTGAATTTCAGGGCTCACAGTTGCGTAGAAAAGCGTCGATTAGATGGGGGTGGTGCACGTGCTCCAAAATGCCAGCTTGGCCAATCAGCAGTCAGCATTTCGTCGCATTTTTGCTCGAAGTAGGGGGTGTTTGAAGGAGTTAGCAGCACTTCAGCCTGGTTCTACGAAGCTGAGACTTGGCCCAGGCACAGATGACAGGTGTTCCAAAAGATTTACCGAAACAAATTTTCATTACTCACACGGGTATGCCAGAGCATGTGCGTAAACTTCGTGAGATATAGTACAGCATTCGAAAGGAGTATCCAAAAACGTCTCGGTAAATTTCTTTGCCAGGGTCTCCTGAAAATTTTGAGCCATAGATTGTCCAAATCGACCAAGGGGGAGATGCTCTGTACTAATTTTAGTAACCCCGAGTCCCAGCGGCGCGCAACCGCTTGCGCGAAAATGTGTGAAGATCAAACAACAAGAAAAACGCATGCATGCAGCAGAACAGCAACGCGTGCCGTCGAAGAGAAAATCATTGTGCACAGATTGTTCAGTGTTCTCTCCTCAGTTCGCCCGCGGCGTTGGTTGCTGTGCTTTCATTCTCGCTGGAGTTCTTGTGGCAGCGCATTTCGCCATCATGGAGGAACTGGCACCCTGGGAAACCTGGTCTTCAGTGGCCCTCGACAAACGCCCGGTGGATTTGCTGGTCCCGTTCACCTCCATCCGATCACCAGCTCCGTGTGGTATCATCATGTTCTCGGCGTTACCTGCCTGGCGAGCTCTGACTCGTTTGTTTGTCTTCTTACCTGTGGAATCATCACGATCGCTCATTGTAGGATCAGCTCTTGGTCGAACATGGCATGTTGTTTTTACTGGGACTAGCACAGGTTGCGTTTCGCATTCTCCTCCAAAATATCGCGAACGTCGGCTCTAAAACTACGAGAGCAGTACACCATGGTACAAGTACAACTCGGGTTCTTTCTCTTTTCTGTTCTGTTTTGGATGCGTGGGATGTACACGATCGGTACTCTCCCGGGGTCACGCGACTCACGTGCACCAAACCCGCCCTCGCACGACGCTTTTGTCGATCCTGCATGCCTACTGTGAGCCCTGAATTTCACATGAACAAGTTTTAGTACGGAACTAATATTAGTACAAAAGAGGCCGTGTACAAAATCGTCCGAAAATAAATTCCGTCCGAAAATTTCTTGCTATACAGTACAACCCCCCACCACCACCACCACCACATGCACACACACAGACCCCCCCCCCCCCTCCCCTCCCTACAAGTACACACATTAGGGCTGAAACGATTATACCAATTACTCGGTAATCGATCGATAATTCCTTATCAATCAAGTAATCGTTACGTTATAGATTACTCGTTAGAGATTTTGAGTCCAAAAAGTACTGAAAACCCTCGTTTTTGTGAAGTTCGAATCAGTTTCCGCTGTGTGTATGCAGTTGCCAGGGGCATGGTGCATATTCTGAGGTTAAATTGACTTCAAAACTGTCATGTTTTGGAGCTTCCCTGCCACTAATGCAGATTTTTGGTATTATGAAGGCCTAGCTTTTGGAAACAGGATAATTTTTGCACAAAATTCTGACACTATTTGTTAATATTATAATCAATTACTCGATCGTTAAGCTAAAGAGTAATCGATAGGTGAAAATCCATGATCGTTTCAGCCCTAACACACATACATCAAACTCACCAGTGATCGCAACGCAACTGCGCCCATCACCACGGAAACCTGGTAAACATCGACACTGATGCTGCGACGTTCCCACGGTGACACACTCCGCATTATGGTCGCACGGCATGTGGTTCTTCTCGCACTGAGTCGCCCAGCATCTCCTCCCATCGGCGTCAGGATACGCAAAACCGTCCCGGCAGTTGCAGGAGAACGACCCGAAAACCTCGTTGCACCGCGTCGTGTGCGCGTCGCAATCGTGCGTTCCTAGCGCACACTCGGACACGTCCTGGTAGCAGCCGGCACCCATATAGCCCTGATAGCAAACGCAGGTGTAGCTGCCCGGATTGTCCGAGCAGAAGCCGCCGACGGCGCTGCAGTTGTGCGTGCCCTGGCTGCACTCGTCCGTGTTCAGGCACGGCCCGACCGCGGCGTCGGGGCTGCCTATCCGGTTGTAACCATGGATACACTGGCAGTGGTACGCGCCGACCGTGTTGACGCACGTGGCCGTCGAGCCGCACTTGTACGCCAGGTGGAAGCACTCGTCAACGTCCTGGCAGGTGCCCACGCCGGCCGCGGTGCTCAGCCACATCCCGACAGCGCAGCGGCACGAGTACGAGCCCTCCGAGTCGACACAGGTGGCGCCGCTCGTCGTGTCGCACACCGCCGGCGTCTCCATGCACTCGTTCACGTTCTGGCAAGCTCCGGACGCGTTGCCGTGACGACCGTAGCCGGCGCTGCAGTTGCACGTATAGGAACCGATGGTGTTCTCGCACGTCGCGTTGCCGCCGGTAACGGCGTGGCACGGGTTCTGGCCGGCGCATTCGTCTGTGTCAAAGCACTGCATCGTGCCGCTATAGCCCGGGGAGCACTGGCAATCAAACGTGCCCGGCCTATCGATGCAAACTCCGTTCGTGGGGTCGCAATTGTGACCTCCCTCGGCACATTCGTCCACGTTTTCGCAGTGCGACGCGTTTCCACGGTACCCTGCGTGGCATTTGCAGAAATAGGAGCCGTAGGTGTTTTCGCATCGTGAGTTCGTCGGGCACGCCTGCGGCTTCATCTGCTGGCCACATTCGTTCTCGTCCGAACACTTCGTCATTCCGTCGCCAACGAAGCCGCTGTCGCACGAGCACGTGTAGCTACCCCGCGTGTCTGTACACTTGCCATAGACGTGGCGGCACGTGTGTGTCCCAGCCGCGCACTCATCTGTATTGACGCACGACGAGTTGACGCGCTGAAAACCGTCTGCACAGGCGCACACGTAGGATCCGTTTGTGTCCGTGCACATTGTGTTTGGCGAGATGCAGAGCGGCGCCATGGCAGGCTCTGTGCACTCGTTGACGTTCTGGCAACGCGCCGTCGTCCCGTTGCTTCCGTTACGTCTGTAGCCCGGTCTGCACACACAGCTGTACTGCGGAGCGCCGAGCTGTTGACTCCCAGCCGAACCACCAGAGTCGGACACAATCAGGGTGATGGCCCCGCTCGGCTGGCACACTTCGTCGTCACGGCAGCCGTGCAAGGCCGGCAATGACGTGCCTGTGGTGGCGCTGCACGGGTCCAGCGGAAAGCACGCCACTCCATCCCCGGTGAATCCCGAAGCGCACGAGCACACGTACGAGCCGATCGTGTCCGTGCAGTTGGCGTGCCGGCTGCAGTTCGACAATCGCGTATAGCACTCGTCGACGTTGTGGCAATAGCGCGTGTTGGTCGTCGTCGCCCCGCTCGCCGAGACGGTGATGGCAATGCTGGCGTAGCCGTCCTGGCACAGGCACTGGTGGCCGAGCGGAGAGGTGGCGTCGGGCACGCAGCGCTGGTGTGCTGGGCACTGTGTGTATGAGCACGCGTGAGTGTGGTGCGTGCAGTTGATACTGTCGTAGTAGTGCTGCTGCTGGCCGGGCGCGGGCAGGCTGAAGTAGCCGGCATCACAGACGCAGGCTTTACGTGTGACGTCGCAGTGCGAGTGCGGGTGCAGTGCCGTGCATTGGCCTGGCGAGTCTCGGCAGTCCAGCCGCTGGCAGTACGTACGGCCGTCGCCAAACGTGTGCGCCGGACACTGGCACGTGAACGAGCCCGCCGTGTCCGTGCACGTGGCAAAGTGGTGACAGTCGTGCGTGCGTGCGGTACATTCGTTCACGTTTGAACAATTCCCGGTGGTGTTGTCGTAGCGATAGCCAACAGGGCAGCTGCATTCGTAGGATCCGGGCGTGTTTCTGCACGGAGCGTGCGCCGGGCACATGACAGGCAATCCATCGAGGCATTCGTCTTTGTCCTGACAGTTGTTGCTGGCGTCGAGCGGCAACCTCACGAAGCCATTAGCGCACTCGCACGAAGGTACGGACGCGCCCGCGGTACTCACGCAGATCTCTCGCGGCAACGGGCAGTAGGCTGAGCACGGGTCCATGGGTGTGCAAGCGGTGGAGTTTGCGGAGCTCGTGTGGCCGGCGCCGCAGGAACAGACGTACGACGCGTCCGTGTTGGTGCACTGGGCGCTGGCGTGGCAGCGGTGGACGCCCAGGCTACACTCGTCAATGTCTGAGAACAATACGCATACATACACGTGCACACACACACGCACACACACACGCACACACGCACATACGCACATGCACATGTACACACACACACCGGCATCGTAAGAGCAAGGGTTGGGGAAAGAACAGAAAGGGGCCTTAATTTTGTTCGACCTCGATTCACAGCATATGCCATGTATGCAAACAGAATGTGTGTTTGATTATCGAGTTCCTTCGCCTATCCGGATATTTTTGTGGAAAACGGACGTGTGCGTTTAAGCGAGGTCTGACTGTAATGACATGCAGTTCTTACTACTGTTTAACTCTTTGTGGACGGACTGTACGAGTCTCGATCTAATAAGATCTAATAAGATCGAAACTTGAAACGCGAATTTTTCTGGGCGCACCGCACTTTTTCGGCGATATTTTTTACACAAATCGAAAGACGAAATCCATATCTTTCCAATGGTGCTAAATTCGCCGGGGGTCCCTAGTCAAAATGTTGACCAAATTGGCCGCGCAAGAAAAAAATTGAGAGCTTGCGCTAGCATGCACAACTAAAGTTGCAGTAGGAGTACTGTCATGGCACGACGCAGAAACGTCCTCCACGTGGATGCGGACGATGCCATCGGCATGATTCTGAACTGGAACTCTGACGAGGACAGTTCTGGCGACCCACTCGACGAGTCTGATGACGACGAGTTCGAAGTGGACAGTGATAGTGATGATGATGATATCCCAGAAATTCAAGAAAACAATTTATCTGATGGATTTGCTGATACTGCTAGTAGCGAGAGCGGCGGCGAGGATGATGATGGACAGCTTATCCTATCTACTTTCCGAAAATGTATGGTGTTGTATTGGGTAATGTACACCGATTTCGAGTTATTACTGATTTTCGCATGTCGCTTCTTTCCTGTACAAATTTGGCAGTTCATAAAGGGTTAAAGTCAACAAATATTTGCCGAATATTTGCTTTCGGCTATTCTCGGCCCGGGCGTTTTGGCCGGAAATTTGTTCCGGCTGAAATTTTGTTTTGCAAGGTTCTGTGTGACAATAGAGAGGTTCCGGGGTACGATTTTCCGTGCCAAAATCTGTATGGGCTCTACGGATTTTTTCGAGACGTGCTCCATACGATTTTTCGGCACGGAGAATCCGTGGGGACTGGCTTTCATACGAACCATGTTTCGTATGGAGATTTTGCGTCATCGGGTGCAGAAAGATTTTTCGCGTACAGATTTTGTACGAGAAACATCGATTTCCGGCGGGTAGTTTTGATTTCGGTACAAATTTTCAAAATAAAAAGGCATAGCGCGGGAATGTGACATGTTTGCAATCGTAACCTAGGCAATGACGGCAAGCACATTAGTTCCGTACTCCGGAACATTTCACTGCTCGAAAACGACGCACGAAAAATCCGTAGCGCCTCTACGGATTTCGGCACGAAAAATCGTACTCCTGAACCTCTCTAATGTATGCAGCCAGCAGCAGAACAGGCCAGAAATTTAATGCGGCCGAAATGTGATTTAGCTCAGGTAGGCCGAAATTCATACGTGGCAAAAATTTGTAGACTTTGTATAATATGGCAGAGACATCCGACTTGAAGAAAAAAAAGACTAAACATATCGACAGTGCCACACGGCCCCTTAACCCTTTGTGTACCAGGCATCTAATGTATGCGCGGGGTACTCATCGGTAATGATGGACCTATAGCATAAAACTAAGACACATTTTGTATGTGCAAGTTATGTTTTTCTGAACCTGTTGGTATCAATGTGTCCAGGTAAGAAAATATTTTGACCGAGCACACAACTACAGATACAGGCCATACCTGGAATACCTATTTCTGAGTCAATTGTCCATATTTCTGACAATTTAGATCCGTGTACTTGGAATCGTGAATATACTTGCTGGCATTGCCCTTCTTCACACAGAGCAACAGGAGACCACTGCACTAGTGTATAGCCGCCAGTTGCATGCTTCAACAATAGCGAAATGGACGGAAAGAGCCATATTGCGTGAATACCAGATGCCAAACAATTGCATCAAAATTTCAAATTATTGAAATTGTGTCAGATTTGAATATGTACTTTCCACTTATCTACTTGCGTCCAGCGAGGGTATTAGCGATTGAGAAGACCAGGAATAGTCGATGGGTGAGGAAATTCACCTGCCTTGATTATTTCAGGCCATCGCTGCGCTCCCTCTCGCTGCTGCTTGGAGAGCGAATACTGCAATGGCTTCAGCGATGGAAATGCTCATTTTCGATTCAGATCCTGAGATTATATCGCTACTACAACTCTCCCCTGGCGTTCACCATCACTAGTAGACATCGACAACAGCTAGAGCAAGCTATATTCCAGATACAAGCAGCGTGACCGAACGAAAACACGATCGAAATTGCTAAAATATATCGCAGAGCGCTAAAATTGCAAAGCGCACTTTTCGCCGCGATCGTTCTCCATACTTTCAAATGGCAACCTACCCACATCATACATCAAAATTTGCAGTGGGATCTCAGCTGCCCAGCGCAAAAAAACGCGAGTCGATCGGAGCAAGGACGCCGCCGAACGGCGCGGCGCAGTGCGGTGCGTCGAACCGTAACGTACGTTACGGTTCGAGATGGGGCTGGTACACAAAGGGTTAACCCTAGGACGGCCACTACTTTCAGTACTCCTAGAACGGCCAAACTGTGTCATTTGACACCAGTGACCTGCATACATTTCCATGTCTATGATCGATGTTATACAGTAAAACCTGTAACTAAAGACCACCGTGACTAGCGACCAGCCTGGTACTACAGTAAAACCTGTAACTAAAGACCACCATGACTAGCGACCAGCCTGGTACTACAGTAAAACCTGTAACTAAAGACCACCGTGACTAGCGACCAGCCTGGTACTACAGTAAAACCTGTAACTAAAGACCACCGTGACTAGCGACCAGCCTGGTACTACAGTAAAACCTGTAACTAAAGACCACCGTGACTAACGACCAGCCTGGTACTACAGTAAAACCTGTAACTAAAGACCACCGTGACTAACGACCAGCCTGGTACTACAGTAAAACCTGTAACTAAAGACCACCGTGACTAGCGACCAGCCTGGTACTACAGTAAAACCTGTAACTAAAGACCACCGTGACTAGCGACCAGCCTGGTACTACAGTAAAACCTGTAACTAAAGACCACCATGACTAGCGACCAGCCTGGTACTACAGTAAAACCTGTAACTAAAGACCACCGTGACTAGCGACCAGCCTGGTACTACAGTAAAACCTGTAACTAAAGACCACCGTGACTAACGACCAGCCTGGTACTACAGTAAAACCTGTAACTAAAGACCACCGTGACTAACGACCAGCCTGGTACTACAGTAAAACCTGTAACTAAAGACCACCGTGACTAGCGACCAGCCTGGTACTACAGTAAAACCTGTAACTAAAGACCACCGTGACTAGCGACCAGCCTGGTACTACAGTAAAACCTGTAACTAAAGACCACCGTGACTAGCGACCAGCCTGGTACTACCGACCACTTCGCCAGGCAAGGACGGTCTCACATTCAAAATGCACTGTGACTAGCGACTACCTGCTGAACGCGACAAGCGACCACCTTTTCTTGTCCCAAAGATGATTTTTGACCCGTAACTAGCGACCGCGCTGTAGGAAATCAATAATGTTGCTCGAAGCTCCTTCTTGAAATTTTGATGATTTTCCGTGGTCCTGAAAGGAGTCTTTCGACACTACAGCTGAAGAAATGAACGCAGGTCATTTTGACTGTGGAGTCGGTGTGGACTGCACTACACCTGTCAGAATTTCAAGCGCTGTCTAGAATAAACATGATAGGAAACGTCTTGGAGAGCGCATCGAAAGCGCTCTCTGATTGATGTTACTACTCGGAGGAGAAACGAAGACTAAGCGGCTCTGTCGCCCCAGTAATACACACGAATCGACGATGGCATCAAGGAATCCAGAAACACAGCAGCACCGCAAGGTCCTGATGCGGAAGGATCGCGTTCAAGCAATCGAGAAGTCGCAACAAGGACAGTCGGTACGATGGATTGCATGAACAAATTTGAAGCCCAGCGCAAAACGAAACTTCCACAGGGAACGTTTGACTCCTGGCTTCAGAAGTAGGAGCTGAATTTGATGTCCGCAAAAAATATTAATCTTCTCTCTCTCTCTCTCTCTGTCTCTCTCCATCTCTCCGTCTTTCTCTCCAAGTGTTGTTTGACCTGAAATAAGAATGGCATTGCGCAAGTCTTGCGGAATTCCATTAGCTGCATTTTGATATACACTCAAACGCCTCTTATCCGGACGCCTCAGATACGGGCACGTCTCTCTACCGGGCACCTTCAGCTTGAGTTCCTATAGCACAAATGCTTCGAATTTGGGGGGTTTTGAACTTTTTTTCCGTATGAGGAAGTGCTCATTTTTCACTGCCAACCTATGTAATCCACACATTTTTATCAATGGGTTCCTTTTGTATCCTGAACATGTGCAATACGTTCCAAATAAACTTCTTCAAAAATGATATGATACATGGTACATGAGTTATCCTGAGATACGGGCAAATCTGAGGTACGGGCAGTGCCCGGTCCCAAGGTGCCCGGATAAGAGACGTCCGAGTGTACATATCATATAATGGGATCCATATATGGTCGCGCGGTGCAAACCTCTAACTAAAGACCACCTGCTACTAAAGACCGATTTTGCTGGCACCAAGGGGTGGTCGGTAGTAACAGGTTTTACTGTAGTTCTGTTAACACTAGTGGCATTTCTTACGTAGACAACACATTACGCTTCGCCCAGACAATATCTTATAGCTATAGGCAACCAAAGTGCTATGTACGCGTATCATCAGTTGCAAATGTTGATCTCAAATACTGGTAAAACTTCAATTACTTGCATAGGATTATCTTACAATCACAGAGTTACAATAGCAAGCAATATGTAAACGTCACTTGGCATATGAGGAACTGTTTTCGGGAATGTGTGCTTTGGTGTAACGTTCTTCCTCGACCCGTACCAATGAATAACACACAGACTGTCAGTAACAAGTACAACCATAGACAGACTGCGTGTATCCCTTTTTTACCAGGCAGTCGCATATGCTGCTAGGCCTTGGTGAAATATTGGGCTTGCAATGACTGTGTTTTAGCCTCTTTCAAAGAGGTGTTCCCTTTTCTTCTCCTTGGCTGTCACTTGGCAACCAAGTGCCATGATCTACGAGCTTATTGACCATTGCGGGAAAACACTTTCTCCTGGATGTCCACGAGCTAGTTAAGTTCTTGGATATTGTGACATTGTTGATGCCTGTCACATCTATTCGTTTATGTAACAGGCTTGCAGGGGACATCTTTTGGAATAGTCTTTGTTGAGTAGATGGACCACATTCGATCGGAAAAATCAAGGACATAATTATCTCGTTTTTCCTAGAAGAAGACGATGCGGGGCTTCCTACTCTTACCATGTACTTTGAAGTAAAATATCTTGCTCCAGGTGGCCTACATTCGATGTACCATTGATTATTATTACTGCCTCTACCTTCTACCTCAACTTCATTTGCATCCTACAATGCAGCCTTGAAAAACAAAATGCAATCCACGATTCTTGGCAATGAATTTAGATGGTAGTTCACTTCGATGTACCAGAATGATTCCTGTTGCAACTCTTTCTTCTCCGAGAGTTTCTGGACCAGTATTTATGCCAAGTTATGATGAAGTTATCAGTTATTTCTTAGTGATCACCTTTTGCAGCATCCCCAGCCAATAAAGCAGGAGAAGGCATCCCAGCAGCTGCCTGCCCGTTTAGCCTGAAGTGGAAGAGACGGGGAGATTTGGTTCAAGAGTCTCATTAGCGGGTCCAGTAGTTATAAAAGATTATCTAAACAGCAACATCCTTGCGATAATGCGATGAACCATCTCCAGGTTGTAGAGTTGCGATTCCTCTTCCTCAACACAATGGATTTCTGGTTCGCCACCACTCCTACACCTGCTGCTCACAATCCTTCATCTGGATTTACCTGCAATCCTTTTCCATTTCTGGAGGCTCGTAAACTTCAATACTTATGAATCCACAGGTGTGCATTTGCCATTGTTGTGATCCAAAGTTTCACCGTCATATGACAGAACAGATCCACCCCTGCATATGGTCACTACACTTGAAGATGCATCAGGTGAAGATGTTGAGGTTAATTTTGCTTTCATGTTCATCAGATTCCATATCGTTCGCCGTCAGACTCAGACGGCTCCTCTGGGACAATTTGCAGGAAAATGAAAGGGAATGAGCAGTATCAAGGACATTCGCTGAAGTGTTTTGTGTAATCTGTGTCCTAATGTTCACCCGTTCGCGATTCTCGCTCGACGGTTGTATGTTGATCGTATATTCCATCCTGTATTCAGAACTTTTCCTGCCCATGTAACTTTCCTTTATCTGGTCGGCACACAAGCAACTCAATATGACCCATGCCTTCGAAATCTCTTCAAATCGTTTCCATCTACTTGCAATAATGGCCTTTTTAGTGTAGGTGTCAAATGACACCAGTTGGCCGTTCTAGGTATACATACTTGCTGTTATGGTACCTCATCATTATTATAAATCAAAGGTATATGGCCGACGAAACAGGAAGCAAAATTAGGAATGGTCACGAGATTTGAGCTGATTCTGATGAACCATATTTCAGTAATTCCAAAAGCTAAACACGCTCGGTGTTGAATGACACCGCTGGCTGTTCTAGGGTTAAAACGCTTGTGCAGTGATCCCTTTATAATCCGGCACCATTTGTGCTATGGAAATTCTGCTGGATTGGGGAGGGTGCTGAAGTAACAGATCTAATTGTTGCGGCAGCGGACATGAGTGGGACATTTTGGCCGCTGAAAACTATGCTGGTTTATAGAGGGTGCTGGATAATCGGAGGATGTACCCGCGTGCTGACAGTGCTCAGCACCGCGAAGGCAGAGCGTAATACAGAACAACGAGGGTGCTGGAATTAAAGAGGGTCGACGGTAGTATGAGTTGACAAGCACAATTCATGAACCAACCTGTACAGTTTGAGGTGCTGTGGAAAGCCAGTTCCAAGCCGGGGTCACAGCGGCAGTAAGACCGTACGTTGACCGACTGCCCGTACTCGTAGCAAGTGCCCCTCGTGCAGCTGCAGGTGCCCAGCCGTTGCGCTGTGCACGGTCAGTGGCCGACAAGAGCATACATACGCGCATGCACACACGTGCACACATACACACATGCACACACATACACACACACACACACACGTACGCACACACACACGCACACACACACGCACACACACACACACACACACACACACACACACACACACACACACACAGTCTTGTAACAGTTGAGCTAGGCGACACACGACCCAATGCACGCCCTCAACTTGCATGGCCCTTCACGCTCCTGGAAGTGGTACTTTTGCAGCTGGACGTACACAAGTACAGATACAGTGGTGTAATTGGAACTGGTCAAGGGCGTCAGTTTTGCACTTCGAGTCGGATTTCAGTGAGCGCGACCGTTCTCGTACATGATGAAAACCAGATACGGGGGTGTGATCTGAGCGAAGGGGAGGGAGATCCTGTGCAAACATTGGAAAGACGGCATTACCAACCTGATGTTCAGCCCTAATTAAAATTTAAAAAGAGAGTACCATCAGTTTACAAGTTATCCGTTTTGTCCAACACTAACAATTATAAGCAAGATAATGGTTGGATACTGGTTGGATAATGGTTGGACAAAACGGACAACTTGTAAACTTATGGTCCTCTCTATTTTTATTTTAATCGGGTGGACTGGTGAACATTATCGACCATATTTTGGTTCACCACACAGCAGCAGATGGGTGAGGCCAAGGTGTAGAAAAAAGGCTTGAAGGCACCAAAGGGTTTTTTCCTTCAGAAGTGAAGCTGCACTCATCCCCATCAAATGTAATGCTTGCTACAACAACGACGACGACGATGACAACAACAACAACGACGACGACGACAACAACAATTCTTTTAGCCACGAGCCATCGTGAGAATAAAGATTTCAAACACTAACAACAACAACAACAACAACAACAACAACAACAACAACAACAACAACAACAACAACAACAACAACAATCTCTTATTGGCCACTGGCTATCGTGAGAATAAAGATTTGAAACAACAACAACAACAAATTCACTTACGGCCAACACTGGTAACTGTAGCAAAGGTTCCGACGCCGAGTAAGCTCACGGAGCATAAGAAGACAAGCAGAGAGTGTTGCTGAAGGAGTGACCGTGCCATTGTCGACACACACACACACACACACACACACACACACGTTTAAATGTTGATTACGTGGCACCTGTGCTCGGACGCTTACTAAAACGGGAGCATAGGTACACGATCCCAAATAGCCTGATGAGCGGTGAGTATTCAGTGTCACCGACAATCGCACACCACAATGCCGAGATCCGGAATTTGAGCCGCTCGGGTCCCGTAATGTGCCGCTATTAGGCACACACACACACACACACACAGAGTGTTGTTCTCCCGAGCAATCAAGGGTGCCCGCCAAGTTCAGCTTAGATCCAGCTCAACTGGCATGGTGACTGCGAGCACGAGCGAGCACGGAACGAGGCTATCATCCGAGTGTCACGCACGAGGACGAGCGACCGTCATCGACACCCGACGCCTAGAGTGGTAGCGAAAACTTCCGGCGCCGTCGACGTTTGCACGAGTCTAGTCAGAGCCGGAAACACCACGCCCTTCCCGCCGCCGCCGCCACCGCTGTCACACAAACTCCAGACAAACCAATCTACAACAGGCCAAGCACACAAAGAAACAAGAAACAACAACAAAATGTACTAAGTACGCCTGCAAATGGGTACTGTGCTGTCCGACACGTTATTGTAACGAGTCGCAAATTTAACGATTGTCCAAAATCCATAGGTTAACGAGAAGATATGTTAACGATCTTGCAGTATTCCGGCATATCCATACACAACATAAATGAAACAGTGCGGCCTCAACGGATCTTATTGTAACGAAGAAATGTCATCCGTTAAAACGTTAGATTTGCTTCCTCGTTATATATACATGCCTTACAGTAAGTCTAGAAATTTTCGGCCCGTTCGAATTTCGGCCTCCCAGGGCTAAAACCCATTTAGGCCGCATCAAATCTTCGGCCTGTACTGCTGCCACTCGTATGCACCGTCACACCGAACCTTGCAAAACAAAATTTCGGCAGCAACAAGTTCTCGGCCAAACGTGATCAGGCCGAAAATAAAAATAAATAATAAATAAATTTCACGGTTCGCGTGAGACTCGGCTGGAAGCCGAATTTTCCGCATCCGCCGTGGGAACGCCACCGCCCTCTAGGATCAAGGCGCTGCCCCTAACTAGGAATTGACCGTAAACCAGAACTTACATACTTCATGTGAGTAAAAAATTTATGCCGTTCAATAGGTTTTGGACTTGAACGGCGAGCCAATGGAATTATGGATATAAAAAAAAGGAGAAGGGCAAAAGGGTACGAATAGTTTTTTGTGCAAGAATGGACTCGGATGGAGAGCCAAGGATAAATGTATTAGTATTTATTTATTATTTTACTTGTTCGCGTTGGCATCAACCTGCATAAAGCAGGTATATAGCCTTCGCTTAAGCTGCCATAGAAAGAAAGCGCATCCTAAGCGAGAGGGCTAGAGGAAAAGATAACGATAACAAGATACAGAATACATTCAATGAGTTAAACATAGTTCCAACATGAAAAGAACAAACAAAGAAAAGCAGAGCCGAAGTTACTAATCGGAGTTACGAATGCGTTGGTACCGATTGATCAATCGACAAAGGGGACTAATCCGTTATTATTGCAAAGTAGAAACTGATTGTAGTTGCAGATCTCCAAGCCAGGGCCAGCATATTGCCGATTCTGGATAGGTCTCTGCAGCCTTTGATGTGTGGTAATTATCATAATTGTTGATAAAATTGCTAGAGTATCTAGTATCTAGAGTATCTAGTGTATTAGAGTATCTAGTGTAATTGTATCCGTTATTATTGTTGTGTAATTGTATAACTTCAGCCTCTACACACAGCACACATTAGTTCCTTCCACTTTCGACGATCCTGGGCGAGCTGCCTCAGTGCAACTAGATCCTCGTGTGATGTGAGGGAGTTTGTGGATCTGGAATTTTTCAGGTCATTGTTGATAGATCGCGGGAGAGTTGTTGTCGGGCGGCCTCGGAACCCTGAGCTCCCTGGCTGAAAGTATGCTGACATAGCCTGCTGGACCGGGGATGAGATGTCTAGTCGAAGCATGTGGCCAAGCATTCTCCACCTAGCAGACTGGATGATTCTGCTGAGTGGCTTGGAGCCAGTGCGCTTGTACAGTGCTTCATTGCGTATTATACGGGGATATTTGACCCCTATGACTGCTCGTAACTGCTGGCGGTGGAACGAGTCAAGTTTCTTTTCTTGAGTCTCTGTCAGGCTCCACATTACGCAGTTATAAAGAAGTATTGGAAGAATAAAGTTGCTGTATAACCTAATCCGAAGGGGTTCACAGGCATGGTTACCTCTTAGCCATATCACCCACAGCTGATGTAAGGCACATGTTGCTGGACGTGTTCTCCGACTGATATCTTCCTCCACTCCAAGCATCGATCCTAGTTTGACTGTGTTCCGCCATCGCTCGTCTACTCTGTCCTTTTCTCTTTTAAAATGAATGAAGCCAAAACCGATGATAGTATGGGTTTATTGTCGTGCAAATATTGTAGGCTGGTGCTGATGAAGTCTACGTCATCCGCATACGCTGTTTCATTAGGCAATTGAAGCTGAATATCCAATGCTGGTCGCAGTGAGAGTCGCTCTCGAATCAACCTCAATGCAGCCTCGAGGTAGACAGTCAACAGGACTGGCGATAGAGAATCACCTTGTGGGGTTCCAATATGTGTGACTAATGGTTGGCTGAGAATGTTATTCAGCTTTACTTTTATTGTGGTGTCTGTCAGAAGGCATCGAATGATGTGCAGCTCATCATGATCAATGACTGATGACAGTATATCGATCAACCTGACCATTGATATAGTGTCAAATGCCTTTGACATATCAATGCCTAAGATTGAGATCTCCGACGCAACCCGTTGGCATCTTGCTGATCACCACCGATACCTATATACCACGTCTCAAGTACTTCTCCTTGACCGGAACCCGCTCTGGTTAAATTATAGAAAAGAAAAAGGACCAAGGAACTACAAGTTACGCTATAATAGTCGGTCAGTGTCGTGCAATGTTATCGCATGAGCTGATTGTTTAGTAACTGGTGGTGTTAGTGGACATTATAGCGTAACTTGTAGTTCCTTGGTCCTTTTTTCTTTCTATAGTTTGTGTGGCCTTTTCTTTGTTGAACACGTCTCAAGCCAGGGGATTCGGATTCGAAGTATGTTTGGATAAGAAAGCGGCCACACATCCACCCGAAACGTGCACGTCCTCTCATGTTCTCATTATGTTTCGTAACTTTCGTTCTGTTCGGCAGTACCACACGCCGGCTTCTCAGAATGACACCGTGAGGACACATGTTGAGGTCAACATGTTGCCGTACATCCTGTACATCATTGAGTGCTTCGTTGGATGGGGGAAATCAGCAAGAACTCATTTTTTCGCCACTTCAATGCCGTGCCAACAGGCATCAGAGATAATTCATTCCGATAGTTAACATTCGGATGATCAGCGTGCGGCTGTGCGCTAAAGCAACACGGAGCGATCTATTTCACAGCCAAAATTCCCACTGGCTACATTTCACGTTACCAAAAGTACATAACCCCCCAAGAGTGTGCAACTCCCACATGCCCTGCTGTAACGACAGAATTTCCAAGTTGACGTCATTATCTATGATGCAATGCTCCGTGCACCAGAGATTTACAACATGTGTACGGGTGTCAACGCATCACACGTTTTTCTTTGCAATAATCCGTACAGGATCAGATGCAAAAGCCGTGTGTTGATCATGAGTGTATGGCATTCCCTTTTCGTATACGCGCAGTGCGTACTGCATTCGTGTCAATCAAGATCGTGGCCTCTTTGGCGCTTCACATTTGCAATTGCCGAATTCTTCGAGACCCGTTCGTAAATTAACCCAGTTTCTTCGACTTCCAGGAGAAATTTCTCCAAGAAGCTGGAGAAAACAAGAGCGCACCCTTAGCTTCACCGTAAGGGCATTTGACCGTTACATAATGCATGCAGTTCAAATTGTTCCTATAATATTTGGAGTCTTTTTATGACACAATTTCAATTTCGATTTGTTAGGATTCATAGTGATTGCATGCTATGTTTACTTGTTGCTGGCTCGCCAGTGGAGCGCAAAACACGACTCAAGACCTGCCAACTGACTGGATGCTGGTGGCAGGTAAAGGACGCAGTCTACACGTTTCGAAAATCTCTCTGGGCCCATTGGCAGCGGGGAGGAAATTATTTATGGTGAAAGAAATCAGACTCACCTTGTACTGTGCAATGACTTGTTCGGCTTTCGGCCGTGCTACCTGCTTGACCTTTGGGCACCGGAGTCCTACTGCAGATACTTTCAGAGGCCCGGCGGCTGCCCGGCACTTGGGAAATTCTACAATTACAATCGTGCCAGCAACGCGCACTCTCACAACCACGAAGCGCTGGACTTCCACCGAACGTTCTTCGAAAGTTTTCTGCTCGCCCTGGCAATGTTGTGCCGAATAAAATTTCCAAACAGGACAACTCTAGCTCTGAAAGCTGGGGAAATTGTACCGAAGTCAGGCTAGTCGCTCGGATCTAACAACAAACCCCTAGTATTCCACGGAAGTGGAACAATAATATTATGCCGAATACTTCAACGTGGAAATTGAAATGCTAGTGGAACCAATTGAATTTACTTCCGTGCCAGACGAAAGGATGGTGTCTTCTCCAAAATGTTGCCCAAAAGTAGCATTGATGTCCCCAAATCCTGCAAAAATGGGAGAAGCCTTGCTCGGATTCGTACCGTAGATGTACCCAGCACGTGCTGCAGCGCATCATTCCCTTTTTAGGCCTTCTTTTGCAACATTCGTGCATATCTTTGCGCAGATGCTAGATGCGTAGAAACAGGGGTCGACCGGTCGTAGCTACCAAACACAGAAACACGCCGGTACGCGGTGCACCATCGCTCGAGCACCAGACCAAAGCGGGCTGGAGGCGGCTGCGAAAGGAAGAAATGCTCCGACGGTACTGTAAAGACAGCTACAGGAATAGAACAGCTTTTTAGCAACGAGGCTGAATTCCCTTGTCAAGGGCCTTGATTTTGACCGTCTTCCCTGGACAAAAAGTTTTTTTAGCGCATCCATCATTAGCAGATGAACCGTATATTCTCTAATACGAGCCCGGGGTTCATACTAGCAAGAGTATTATAATAAGGTTTACTGTGTGTACTCTTGATACCGCGTACTAGGGACAGTTCTACCCAGGGAGTAGTAGTACAATGATGGTATTGTACTGGGTATTGTACTACTCCCTGGTTCTACCAGCGCTACATGTACTATCAAGAGTACATAACCCCCGGGGGTTATGACTGTACTCGTGGTACTATGACTCAGAGACTGTGCTTTTATTTTTTCAATGCTCCACAATCAAGCCAACTCCAGTTTACATATATAGGCATAAACTGACCATAATAATTGTTTATCAAGACTGATTTTCTCAACCCTAAACCCAGGAATATGTGTTACAATAGGATGGGCACCAGGGAGGAAGTAGGACACCGAAAATCTCCTTACAAATTATGTGCTTGGAATGCTGTACAGCTGTTTTATATGCAGTCAATATACTTGCCGCATACTCCAATTGTGGCCCGCGCTACTATTAGAGACTGTGCTCTTCTTATTTCAAACAACCCTCACCCCGGGTCATTATTGGAGACTTGGCTAGTATTATTGGAGACCTGGGCTTTTATTACTAGAAAATACAATAGTTTCATGACAGTGCTGCTCAAGCAAAGGGGATGTCATTGCACTGAGCTGTAACAAACTGCACAAGTAAACTTTCTGTTGACCGCGGTATACCGGCGATCCGTTGCAGTTCCACATGTTTTTGTTTTTTGTCTACAACCCATTTATGGCCAAAAGCTATAGGAGATCATCTTTTTCTGAGTGGACTGTAGTACGTACTACCAAGAGTATAATTATACTCTTGGTGGTACTATGTGCTGTGTGTACTTACAACGGAAATACAAAGTTCGTGAAAACACTGAGAAAGCGCCATAAAAAGCTAGGATATCATCTTTTTCTGAATGGACTATAGTACGTGCTAGCTATGTGCTGTGTGTACTTACAACGGATCTACAAAGTTCGTGAAAACACTGAGAAAGCGCCATAAAAAGGAGAACTTCGATTTCAAAAGTCCCATCTCAATCCCTGGACTTTTGTAGGACATCCGTGGACCCCGGGACAAGCGCCCTGTTCTCTGGACTGTCCCGGGGAAACCCGGACGGTCGGCATGTAGGGATTCGCCCGAACCGAAAGGCCGACAGTGTCCACACTCGAGATCACGCAAAGAAGAAAGCGATTCAAAATCCAAAAAATTGTTGGGGATCGCCTGGAGCAAATTCGCTGAAAAGCAGACTTATCAAAATTGTACTTTGCAACAACATTTGGTAGATTCTCGGCGATTCTCAAAGGAACCCTCCAAAATCGGCGAAAAGCTTAGCGATTTTCGATAAGTCTCATTTTCGGCGAATTTTTCGGCCGGCCAATTTGGGAAAAGCCCGACTGTGACTGTCCAAGTACTGTAAGTGTAGAAATTTTCGGCCCATTCAAATTTCGGCCTCCCATGGCTAAAACCCCTTTCGGCTGCTTCAAATTCTCGGCCTGTACTGCTGCAAGTATATACATGTACTTGAAGTACTGTCACACTCAACATTGCAAAACAAAATTTCGGCCGCAATAAATTTTCCACCAAACATGACCAGGCCGAGAATAGCCGAAAATAAATAAGCGCCGAATATTTGAAGGGCTTCAATTCAAAACGCGATAAAGACCAAACCGGAGCTTTTTTTCGTTTTTTTTGTCACGAAAGAATTCATTTTCACCCCACGGACGTCTGTGTGTCGGTTTTACGGGTCAAAACGCGATACATCCCAGTCAAAATGATGCCTGAAGTTTGTGTTTTTCTGCCAAACGTGATAAAAGTCACTGATGCTGTAGTGCAGACCGGAAAAGAAAAAAAAAGAAAAAAATGCTCTTCCCGAAATTCCCACAAAATTGATTTATCTCGTTTGAATTGGAGCCCTTCGTTTGTTGACTTACAGTTTGAAAATGTGTTTTGGTCCATTAGGCTAGCACCATAACGTACAGTAAAACCTGGTGTAAGCGACCGCTGGGTTTAGCGACCACCTGCTCTTAACCACCGTATTTTTCCATGTACGGACAGTTCTACACAGAAACCGTGGGACCTGGTTCTAAAGACCACCTGGCTCTAGCGACCGCGTTTGCTTGCACCGTGCCCGTGGGGTGGTCGCTTAAACCAGGTTAAACTGTACAGTGTAAATGTTGATGTGTGATGCTTGGTGTATTTGGTACAAGTAGCTTAGTATATACCAGGGGTGAAACGGTTACACTATTACAGTCAACTTCGCTTATAACGACACTCGGCCGGGCATCAGAAAAGTGTCCTTATTCGCGAAGTGCCGTTATACCCGAAGTCTCATTATATGTATTACAGTTGGATGGGACTTTGCTCTGGGCGTGGAAATTATGTCGTTATTCGCGAATTGTCGTTATATCCGCAGTCGTTATTAGCGAAGTTGACTGCATCGAATAACCTATTAGCAATTATCAATCTTTTACACAAAGCGAAAAAATTTCACTTATGGGTGGGTGGGTCAAGGAGAGTTTTGTTGTGTCGATAGCTGAAATATCGATCAATTCTAGCCGACGGCAAAAGTGTCGATAAACAGCGATCGCATAACTTGTGCCCACATTTTTCAATGTTACAATATTTCTTTATCATAAATAAGTTACTTTGGACGCTTCTTTCTTCTTGTCATGCCATTTTCAACAAGGCAACACTTGTGCACGTAAAAATACCAAAAAAATTGAGATTTCATTTAGTAATAGCAATAAAGAGAACAAATTCTGCAGTCATCGCCACACTACAACGAAGTCATGAAAGTTTACCAGACAGCGCTTCAAAAAGATAATATTATGTGAAATGTTTCTAGCCAAGTAGCGTTTGCGCAGAGCATCATTCAGGGTTTCAACCTGACTCCTAGAGTATCTCCGTTTAAAATATGCAAATAATCGACGTGGAGACAACAATTTGACTGCAGAATTTGTTCTCTTTATTGCTATTATAAAATTGTTGTCTCCACGTCGATTATTTCATTTAGTGCCATCAGTTATTCCAGGCAGGAATGCTCAAACCATTATCATCCCTCTGCACAAGAATATGTACTTACTAAGGTCCACCCGTGAGAGCTTGGTGTCCACGGCTCTTGGAAAGCGTGGCTCGTCTATTTCTGGGCGCCAGTCGGCGAAACCAGCAAATCGGCGAAAACAGTTTCTTACGTAAAGAAAGGACAAGATGGCATTTGCGATTCAAATTTTTCTACTCGGCGTCAAAGCACAACATCGAACTCATCATCTTCCATTGCTGCAATGGCAAAGGAACGAAGACAGGCTGCGAGAAAGGCCAAAATAATTGCCAATTTCTCCCCCAACTGCCATTGTCGTCCTTATCGTCCTTATCGTCCTTATCGTCGTCATCTTCACCAATACAGTTTTGTGCGGACCTTTTCCCGCGAGCTCGTAATCGGACCAGGAAAATGAAAACGGCCCACTCACGTACTCGGTGGCCTGGCGCGCACGGACTGCCGGCTGCATGCCCCCTACTGGCCCTAGCCCCTATTTAGGCCTACCCGTCCATTAGATGGGCAGAACTGCTCGGAAACACTAGGGTCTAGGGACCATCAGCGCAAGCCGTGAAACGGCAACTCGAAGGGGGAGCAGGCCAGGGTTGTAATCATGGACATTAGGAATTATGCTTTCATGGATGCTCGCATTATGCTCACAAAAAAAAGGCTACATTCCGAAATTCGGCGAAAGATTCCGGGCACGCCGGAGCCAGGTCGAAAATACCCAGTGATTTATCCAATAGAGAGTCATGAATACTACTTCAGTATACATGTAGTTCTTCTAAAGCGAAAGTAGTACTAGTAGTAGTACAGTCGTCCCTTTCTAATCCGGCACTTTATAATCCAGCGCCCTCGATAAACCAGCACAATTTTCAGTAGCCAAATGTCCCCTTCATACACATTGCAGCAGTAGATCAGATTTGTTAATCCAGCACCCTCCCTAATCCAGCAGATTTTCGTGGCACAAATGGTGCCGGATTATAGAGGGACCACTGTAGTAGAATTTATTATTTTTACTAGGGAACTCCCAACAGGCGTTGCCCTTTTACTGAGTTTGTCTTGTCATTGCTCGAGGATTCACCGTATTTACCGCATACATGTACAGTAAAACCTGTAACTAAAGACCACCGTGACTAGCGACCAGCCTGGTACTACAGTAAAACCTGTAACTAAAGACCACCGTGACTAGCGACCAGCCTGGTACTACAGGCCACTTTGCCAGGCACGGACGCGTCGACGGTCTCACAAGTCACATTCATTTACATGTATGGCTGTGCGGTGCAAACCTCTAACAAAGGACCACCTGCCACTAAAGACCGCTTTCTCTGGGCCCAGGGGTGGTCGTTAGTCACAGGCTTTACTGTCATGTACTGATGTACATGTATATTCACTGGTTTGAGGGAAAGACACAAACGGGAAAAGTCTGAAGAAAATATTGACCGTCACCACCAAGATTTGAACTAGGGACCTTCGACCTTCGTTTGAGGCCAGCGATGCTCTAACCACTGAGTGTAGCCGTCATCCCAGCAGAGCCCGTTCAACATTTCTTCAGACTTCGTACATGTATATCGGACACATGTCAACAAACAATGATCGGATCACTCGTACCGGTACTCGTAGTGTTTTGCTACTCTGAGTTGCATGCACTGTGTGCAACCATCAGGCAAACATTATTCAATGCAGACTGTCTTGCTGTGTGGACTGTAAAGCGTGAAATTTTCGCGGCGTTTTAGTTCGCGTTTTCAGAATCCGGACAGGTTTGCGAGGTTTTAATTTTGCGATTGCAGAATGGCATTCTTGCTAAACCTGTGGCATTCTTGCTAAACCTTTCATGGATCTCCTTTTCGCGCTGTCTAAATTTCGCGATTTCCACGCGGTCGTGAATTTCGCAGAAATTAGACCATCGCAACAATTTCACGGTTTACAGTATCAGACATGTCTGATGAATCTGTGAGTGATGATAGTCCGTATTTCAGGGTTACCCAGAGTCTAACGCCTATCGGGAGATCTCCTATCGATTTGTGAACGTATGTACTACTTGGGCTCCCTAAAGCAAAGACCACATCAAAATCGTTGTTTCTCTTCCAAACCTCCCTCTTATGGAACTGCCTCCCACCAAGACTAACTGCAGAACCATCCATTATTGTTTTCAAGAATGAGCTTCGCAAACTCACTTGCAAACATAGTGCTTTGCTCTCCGGTATGCCTACGCCATGTACATAACCCCCCCCCCCCGTGTGCTCCCCAACGCATTCACGCTGCACAACTTTTCACTACTTTCACTTTAGCTCATACGTGTACATGTACATCCTTCAAAGCGGTGAACCCCTTGATAGGCGACAAGCCTCTGGGTCATCCTAATAAAGATATTATTATTATTATTATTGGGGCAGCAGTCTGGCCGTGGAGAGCGCCCTCCAAGCTGCAGGAGATGGACTAACTAAGTTACCATGGTTACTTGGCACGACATTGCCCTGCTAGCTCCTGTCGAACAGGTTCAGGGAAGATGCGAGCTGTGTTTATTGAGCATAGACAATGGGAAAAGAGAAAGCGTGCAAAGAGTTAAAAAAAAAGACAAATGTATGTGGAAGCAATAGCTGCTGTACAAAAAATACACAGGGAAAAGAATGACACGACCTATGCCTATGGTGCGGAATGAGGAAGTCGCAAGAATTCACGAGTCCCTGACCTTGGTGCTAAAAGACTGGCATTCGATGTACGCCCAGCAGAGGAGCACAACCAGTATGACCATACCAGCGAACGTGTAGGGTCTATGCCTGTTGGAAAGGACACGCGCCACTAGGCACTACTGAGTCTGTCAGTCAACCTTGCGACTAACCAGTCTCGATCGGGCAAGAGAAGCGGTGCACGAGTTGTCGTTATTCGCGGGGTTGAACGCATGCAGTCAAATGGCTATTGTTTGCCTGTTTGGTGACTTTGGTCACAAAAAGAAGAATTAGGACCCATGCGAGCTTCGACATTGATTTGCCACGCTTTCGACATGCCCTCCGTGACTCCGTATCGAGGAAGAACTTGTTTGTTGTGAATTAGCCGTACCTCTACACGAGTGAGTTAGTCATGTTTCATGCTTTCGCGCGGAATGTTTCTTCGAGTTCGCAGCGAGGTTTTCCAGGCAGGTCGTACGGTGAGATTGTATACAGGAACTCCCCGGGCGACCGTCAGGATTGCTAATCATTTTGAAGGGCATTGTGTAGGTCTGATAGTGTCGGCATTCGCGAGCTGTTGCTGCTGTTATGCCCGAGGTGGGTATTCGCGACATCGACCGTATCCTTGTGTGGTGGAAGTCGGATGCATGGTTCGTACCACTGCCACTGGATACACACCCGCAAGAAAGCTAGCGTGTGGGCGAACGTGCTACGAACAACACCCGAACAACGAGCTTCTCGCTCTCAGCGCATACAATGCCTGATAAAATACACACCGCGCTTCGCTTGAGGGTTTGACCACGACAGGCCGATGCTCATATCGAACGCAATCCAGCTCTGCCTGACATCTAATCTATTTTCTCCTTTGCGGCTTTGGTTTCTCTCCGTTGCCGACGAACGATTTGATAGTCTAGTGGTCTGGATCGCCGAACGCTCTGCGGACGAGCCGTGTCCATTGGTGTCAAATCATGGACTTTGGTGAGGGCGATCCATCGGATCCCGATGGGGAAGTCCCCGGCGACTCCGAGCAGCCGCTGGTTGCCCATCTATCAGCCGACGGCCAAGCAGCAGCGAGGACTGTGCACTCAGTGATGGTGAATAGCTCGTACAGCGAGCAGTGTTTCTTGCCGCAACCCTGGACACCTGCGCCGGACACGCACCACGGCGGCGGCATCGACTCCGCGCTGCCAGCGCTCCCGCTGTCACCTGCAGCGCCTCTGCAGGGACAGGAGATTGCAGCCTCGCCAAGCAACTCGTCACAGCAGTGGGAAATTCTGGATGCCACCCGGTGCAGATGGGCACCCGTGGGCGACTTGGAGCCACTGTACGAACAGGACTTTGGCCTAGAAGATGCGACCGGCAGTCCCAACCAGGAGGATCTTGAAGAGGAAGGTGTCGACGAAGAAGACGACGACGATGATGAGGCCCTGGGCAAGGACGAGGGCTGCAGCGGCTCATCCGGCAGCGAGGCAACAGGGGAAGACCTCGGTGGGATGGAGCCGACGCCTGGTGAGCTGAGGCATATTGCGCACACTCGTGGTGTTGGTGGTGGTGGTGGTGGTGGTGGTGGCGGTGACAGCTATCTGGACTCGTCGGAGCGATGCGATGACTTACTGCTCTCCGACTGTATTGCTGACAGCGCGGACAACGCTGGACAAGCTCAACCAAGCAGCAGCGGCTACAGAACGAATGTGGACGCAATGCAGTCTTACACTACTACTAGCGCCATGGCACCGGAAAGCGGCGGAGGAGGTGGCTACAGCGACGTCATGTCCAGGCCACACTCCAGCGGGTTGCTGCCAGCTCGGCAGCAACACCATCAGCAGGAGGCTGACGGCGATGGTCAGATGACGCGCCAGGCGCCCAATTTCGGTAGGTTTCCGGGCCCAGGGGCGTCGTGGATAGGAGGACTTCCGTACGGCGGCAACAACACACACCTCATGAACTCTTACCCGGGCAACATGCACTCTAACACGCCGTCTGCACACCAGCAGGAACAGCAGCAGATGAAAGGCAACAACAACGGCAGCAACCACCAGCAGCAGCAGGACCAGTGGCCCGCCCAGTCTATACCTGCTGCCGCTGCTGCTGCTGCTACGACGGGGGTCCCGGGGGAGTGGGCCTACTGCAACCAGTTTCGAATGTGCATGCCTCCGCCGATGCACGGACCATCACCATACCTGCCACCCCCACCACCAGACATGGGTGGGAGCGGCCCCGGCTCGTTCTATCATTCCGGTGTCTCGGCCGCCGCCGCCGCCACCACCGGGTTCATGCAACAGCCGCCGCCGTACCTATCTCACACACCACCTTGCATGCCACCACCACCGCCGCCTCCGCTGCTCCCGCCGCCGCCACCGCCGTCGACATCGCCTGCCGTTCAACAGCCGCACCACCGCGGCCATCATCACCACCTCCCACCGCCACCGCCCCAACAGCAACAGCAACAGCAGGCAATGGGTCTACCACCGCCGCCCCTGCCACCACTGCCCGCACCGTATCAGGGCATGTACGCGGACAGTTACCATGGCAACGGCATGGCGCCAGACTTACCAATGCAGCCGACACAGCCACCGTATGTCACGGGGCAGGGCCAGGCAGGAGGAGCAGCTGGATACATGAGCAGAGACGGAGGCCATAGAAACAAACAGCACCTTATCAGCGCCAGTAGACCTGGCGACTATCCGGCAGGTGGAGGCCAGGATTTCCCAGGTGTTCCTCCACCGTCGCCCGGCAGCACTGGGAAGAGCTCGGGCAGCTCACCGGGCGCCCTGTACGCGGACAAGCCGAGCCGGAAGAGCAAGTCACAGTCACGCCACCGCTCCCTGTCCAGTCGCGAGCGCGTCACGTCGGGACAGTCCTGCAGAGAGAACCGGAGCCATCGCTACGGCAACGGCGCAAGTGGCGGAGGCGGCGCAAGGCCGGCCAATAGTCGGGGCGGTGCGGGGCGCAAGCACTATAACCCGCTCGCCGGGCGTACGCATCATGGCGCTAGTGGTGGCGGCAGTGGCAGTGGTGGAGAAAGATGGAGGCCAGCGCCGGCGTACCGCCCTGGCTGGGACTGGACGGCGGAGGACATGCGCCGGCCATCCCGATGGTACCCCTCCGGCGACGGCATTGCACCAGAGTATGCGTTTGCGCCGCCGGAGGAGTTTGAGTCACCGTGGTATTCAGCCTATCCACCCGCTGCAGACGTCTATCCACAACGATGGCAGGATGGCATGCAAGCCAGGCATAGGTCCGACAAGGTATGGGTTAATATTAAGGATGCCCCAAAGGTCCATCGAGGTTCTATAATACCAAGGGCTTATAAACGGTTAAATGCAAACAAGGAAAACGGTGGGGCACAAGTTGTGCGTTAGAGTCCACCAACTAAACCAGGTTTTGAACAGTCAGACGTGCACAAGGCAGCCGACCAGACTGACGAGGAGTACTGAAACCAGGGAGTCGTAAAATACCGGTATTTTACGACTCCCTGACTGAAACCCACCCGTTTTCCTTTTCACAGTGGCATTTTAATACTTTCCTTGCTTCGCCAGGATGCAGTGGATGGGATTGTCGGTCTTTGACCACTTGCTGGTGAGCTGATCTACTCACCTCCCACCGCGTTAGGAGCTGCATCTGCGCCTTGATCCTTGAACTTGAAGGGTGGTGGCGTTCCTACGGATGCGGAAAACCCGGCTTCCAGCCGAGTCTCACGCGAACTGTGATTTTTTGCTTCGCCACATCAGTACTAATAAAAGGCGAGGAGCAAAAACCGAACAAAGAAAGTTATAAGGAAGTCGTCTACCGGGAGCTCTGTGCTCGAACATATGTATTAAAGCGTGCAGAACTGGGATAAATATTAAAATTAATGATGAAAAGTATGCCAGAGATTATGGTTCTGGGAGCGAGGGAAACCAGTGCAGTAAAACCTATAATTATTTTAATACCGGACCTTATACGAAGAATATATTTTATTATATTATTTATATATACTCAATCTGCGGACAGCATGCTGTTTCATTCTTTGTGAACTCATCAGCGCAGCACAGAGGAAATGAGGCCGCTGAACCTGATAGCAATGAAAATAATTTTTTTAAATATTTATTAAAAAAATATTTATAATAATTATATATTATAATTATATACTCAATCTGCGGACAGCATGCTGTTTCGTTCTTTTTGAACTCATCAGCGCAGCACAGAGAAAATGAGGCCGAACCTGATAGCAATGGAAATAAAAATTTCCAATCAGGCCCGAACGTACCTTGCCAGAGTGCTCAAACTGACAAGTCAGTGAGCTCTGCATAACGCAAACAGCAAAGGCACTACCCCGCGCAAGAGTGCTCAACTGCTACAAGAGCAGGAGCGAAATACTCAATCTGCGGACAGCATGCTGTTTCGTTCTTTTTGAACTCATCAGCGCAGCACAGAGAAAATGAGGCCGAACCTGATAGCAATGGAAATAAAAATTTCCAATCAGGCCCGAACGTACCTTGCCAGAGTGCTCAAACTGACAAGTCAGTGAGCTCTGCATAACGCAAACAGCAAAGGCACTACCCCACGCAAGAGTGCTCAACTGCTACAAGAGCAGGAGCGAAATACTCAATCTGCGGACAGCATGCTGTTTCGTTCTTTTTGAACTCATCAGCGCAGCACAGAGAAAATGAGGCCGAACCTGATAGCAATGGAAATAAAAATTTCCAATCAGGCCCGAACGTACCTTGCCAGAGTGCTCAAACTGACAAGTCAGTGAGCTCTGCATAACGCAAACAGCAAAGGCACTACCCCACGCAAGAGTGCTCAACTGCTATAATATATTATATATTTTTTTTTATATGAAGAAACATGGATGTGGCAAATGGGATTTCGGCCTTTGGCCTCCGGTTGGTGGATCTGATCTATCCTTCCCCACTGTGTAGGAGCCGCATCTGACGCCATATTATGGGGTGTCGGTGTCCCACGGAAGCGGAAATGTGGTTCTTGACCAGCCCGGTACGCCGACCGTCCAATTTTTTTCTATACGAAGAGGGATCTAGTATTGAGCGGACACATTTTCATGCACCGCGTTGCTGTAGATCGAATTTGCATCCCTGGATCAAGCGGACTCCTGTCATATTAGGACAGTTTCCGCTGCACCGAGAGTATCCGCTTAAGGCAGGTTTTACTCCACTCCGTAGCATCTGTGCAGCGCTGTTGGTGCTTGGGTAGGAACCGCCTTGTACTGTCTACCTATCTTAATGTCGGGAATTTTTATTATTGTTTTCAATGTGCGGGGTGCTAGTGAGGGTGACAGTGTGTGTGTGTGTGTGTGTGTGTGTGTGTGTGTGTGTGTGTGTGTGTGTGTGTGCGTGTGTGCGCGTGCATGTGTGTGTGTGTGTGCACGTACGCGCGTGCGTATGTCCTTCTTCAAATGCAGTCTCTGCATTGGCCCATGGCTCTGCCTCCTTTCTCAATCTTCCCGGGCTGCATTCGTTTTCTCCGTCCGTCTATTCATCAGGATGATCTGTCTGCCTCTCTTTATGCTAGCCTTTCAGTCTGCACTTCTTGTTGCTGTTGCTGCAGAATCAAACGAGCAGCAAACCCAATTACATGAGAGCGAATGTGTATAGTACATGCATATAAACGTCAGTCAGGGTTAAAAGAGAATGCGAGGAGGTGAAGTTCAGAATTTAGGATTGGGAGACATCCCTATTCTCTCTATAATGTACGGAAATCCGTTCTGCTTCGTTTTCCTCTGTTCCCCTTGTGCTAGAATGGCGCCAGCAGTCACACAGCATGGCCAGGTTCACACGGACAGCCTGTACCGCCCCGTGGGCTCAACGAGCAGCAGCACTTTGCTCACAACGCCGAACAGCGCTACCACGGCACCGCGACAGGGCGACAGCAGCAGCAGCATCCTGCACCGCCGCTTGCCTACAACAATGTATGGTCGGTACCGCAAGAAGGAATGCGCGAGCGCCTTGGGGGCGAGTGCCAAAGCCCAATGGCGTCCTCACGCGACAACGATTTCTGTCAAAGTCCCATTCCGCGAAGGCGGGCAGACATCTCCGGTGGAGACTCCGCTAGTGATACAGACGCAGACAGCGGCGGGTTTGGAGAGAATGGAGAGGCGGTGCGCAGGAGACGCACCAACACGGATGGCCAATACCTGGACGGCGCGCAACGGCAACATCCGTACTTGCATCACGGCTCCAGTGCTTCTGGCACTGCTGCTGCTGCTGCTACTGCTGCTGCTCGCTATTCTAAACAGTCGTGTGACGTGGATGAAGCCGCCGCCGCCAGGAATGGTTCCGCTACGCCGCAGCTGCTGCTGCACCCGCTGAGCAAGCTGAACAAGTGGCTGTCCGGCGAGCGACTGACCGAACTGGGCCTGGCCGTCACGCCGGACTCGGAGGCTGACACGAAGCGCTACTTCGATCGCATGTACGACGAGCAGTTTGAGATTGCGCTGTTCAGCCGCCGCACCCGGCTGCTCGGCAAGTACAACGAGGACGAGTACGGGGCGATCGGGTTCTCTCCCGACCTGCTCCAGGGTGGGGTGTTTTCCCCCGACCTGTTGCTGAAAAGCGAGTTCCGCAGCCCGAAGCAGTACACGGAGGATCTGATTCCGGTGTCGGATCGCACGTGGGTCTGTTGCAATCGTGGCCGCATTGTCATCTCGGAGAATCAAGAGCAGTGGGTGATAGCGTGTGTCAAGATCCAGGAGAGGCGTGACGCAGCGCTGGCTTCCAGACTGCGCGAGGGCTCCGCTTTCTCAGCCAAAGTGGTGCGGCACATGCTTGCCAACAGTGCCACTACTACCCATCCGCAGGGTACTGAGAATGGTGACGTCATCGCCAACGGTAGCAACACCAACCTCTCTAATGACGTCATCAATGACGCCAGCAGCAACAAGAACACATTCTCCTCTCTACCAAACTCGCGAGCGGCCCAGGACCAGAGTCATGTCGTGGACGACTGCTTCAGTGCGGGGGCACCACCGGATGCGCGAGCAGCGCATGGAAACCATGGCGTCGACCACCGAGCGTGCGGCCCAGGCAACGACCTTCTCGGTCTCCCTCCGCCGCACTCCATTGCAGTGCCGCAGTACAGCAAGCGACTCAAGCAGGCCGTTGACATGGCAATGAACGTGAAGGACTATCGCTACTTCTGCTGCCCGGGGCCGTGCAAGACAGTTCTCGTGCCGGAGATAGCCACCGACCTGCAGCTGGCCCTGGACGAGTACACCTATCGCTATTGGCAACGGGGACCGGTGATAGAGTACGACACCGCGCCGCCGCGATATCATCAGACTCGCAGCCACGCTCCCAGACAGCACGGCCAGCATCGCGGCGGTAGCGGTGGCGCCCAGCACCACAACAACCACAACAACCACAACAACCACAGCGGTAGCGGCAGAGGGGGCGCCGGGCCAATGTCTCGCCGTTACGGGGCCCATCGACCGTCCAGCCGCCATCACCAACATCACCATCACCATCACAACCAGCAGCAGCAGCAGCAGCAGCAGCAGCAGCAGCCGCAAGACCACCATTACGGCGGAGGTAGCAGGCCCCAGTACAACCATCACCACCACCACCAGCAACAGCAGCAGCAGCAGCATCACCCCTACCCACGGGGCTATCGGCCCTATGGCAATGGCCCAGGTCGGAACCGCATGTAGCTGACACAGCCGACACGTGTGCGATGTGCGTCCTGCATATTGGGTGCTGTTGGCAGATGCAATGATGCATCTACCTTGCTCGCATACACCCGCGCACACATGCACCGTAACCTACACTTTGTACGCTCAGTCATGCGTGAGAAGTGCTCACAGCGCACACTTTCCACTGCCCTCTCGCCTGATCCAACAGCTCGTCACTTGAGTGCCACATGCTTGGCAATTTCTCCTTGCCCCTTTCTCTGCCCTGCGCACACACGCACGCGTCGCGTCCTAGGTTCCTGGTTTCCACAAGCAAGCATTCATGGTCACGTACACCCCCCCCCCCCGCGCCCACAGAAATTTAAGGCTCTAGGAATAATTCTGCAGCAGCACACAGTCCAACCGTACACTAATAGCCCTGATATCAAAGAGTATGATTTGCAGGGTTTTTTTTGACTTGCTTTAGGCTTAGACAAGCTCGACCATATTTTTCACAGTGCTCTCCGCTGTTCCCAGGCCACGATGAGTTCTGCTTCATACGTGTGTGTGTGTGTGTGTGTGTGTGTGTGTGTGTGTGTGTACGTGTGCGTGTACGTGTGTGTGTGTGTGCGTGCGTGTGTGTGCGCACTTGCGTGTGTGTGAATGTGTGTGTGAATGTATGTGTGTGTGCACGCGTGTGTGTGCGTGTGTGTGCGTGTGTGTGCGCACTTGCGTGTGTGTGAATGTGTGTGTGAATGTATGTATGTGTGTGTGTGCACGCGTGTGTGTGCGTGTGTGTGCGTTTGTGTGTGTGCGCACTTGTGATAAGCACTGTTGATTCGCTAGCTTTCCGTTATATCGGTGCCCTCATCCCCCCCCCCCCCCCCCCCCACCACCACACACACACCCGACCTACATACTTCCCAGAGTTTAGCAATACAAGTGCGCGAGCTCTTCTGCACGAGGGCATTGTGCTGCAGCAATGCCTTCAAACCTGTTGTCTTTTCTTAAAGTGTTAGAGCACCATACATGCTACGTGCATGCTTGCAATTGTGTACAGTACGCATACCGGCAGCCGTGCTGGTTTCTGAAACGAGCCCCACGGATGACCTTTCATGTTCATTCTCTCTCCGAGTTGATTTCCTTTTCTCTTTGCATAGTACTTTCACCTAACATCTTGCGGTGTTCGTGTTCAATCGAGTTCTGCGCTCCGCCGGTAAGAGCGCGTGCGAGAGATTCAAGCGAGCCTTTGTGTGGGTGCGTATATACGTACGTGCGTGTGCGTGCATGTGTCTGCGTGAGGGGGGGGGGGGGAGGACAAATGGTAAAGGTATCATCGGCTTGCAGCACGCACCTACCTTCCGGTATCGGTATATATCAGTAGGTATTTACGGGTTTTTTTTGGGGGGGGGGGGGCAGGGGGCCGGGGGGGGGGGGGGCAGGGGGATGTAGCCTCTTTTCCGGGAAAAAGAAACACAATGGATGAAAATGCAATACAAATGCAAACCCAGAAAGGAAAACGACAGAATATGGATAGGAGTTAATTAAGAGCAACTGAGTGTTACTGTCCCCCACTATCACTAGATACCTGTTACTCTTAACCAGGGAGTAGTACAATACCGGTATTGTACTACTCCCTGCTCTTAACTCGTATCTATTTAATTTGTTTATGTCTTTTTCTTTTCTGCATTTATTATTAGCTCCACATCCGAGTTTCAAATTGCAAAACCAGAAAAGGAAAAAAGTAACCCAAAAGAAAAACAGTGTGTGATTAGCACTATGCATGTGATGTAGGTCTGCATATCAGTTGTGAGGAGCTGTACACGAGGCCCTTTGCCTTTGCCTCATGCTACATCGAATCATGCACGTGTAGGCTTACCGGCATGCGTGGCCTGGGACCCGAGGGGAGTGGTCTCTAAGATCAGGTGGCCTTTCTACACAGGTCGGGTTGTACATGTACATGTATGCTGATGTGTGGTCTGGGACCTGAGGGGAGTGGTCTCTAAGAGCAGGTGGCCTTTCTTCACAGGTCGGGCTGTACATGTATGCTGATGTGTGGTCGGGGACCTGAGGGGAGTGGTCTCTAAGAGCAGGTGGTCTTTCTACACAGGTCGGGTTGTACATGTATGCTGATGTGTGGTCTGGAACCCGAGGGGAGTGGTCTCTAAGAGCAGGTGGCCTTTCTACACAGGTCGGGTTGTACATGTATGCTGATATGCATGATGTGTGGTCTGGGACCTGAGGGGAGTGGTCTCTAAGAGCAGGTGGTCTTTCTACACAGGTCGGGCTGTACATGTATGCTGATGTGTGGTCGGGGACCTGAGGGGAGTGGTCTCTAAGAGCAGGTGGTCTTTCTACACAGGTCGGGTTGTACATGTATGCTGATGTGTGGTCTGGAACCCGAGGGGAGTGGTCTCTAAGAGCAGGTGGCCTTTCTACACAGGTCGGATTGTACATGTATGCATGATGTGTGGTCTGGGACCTGAGGGGAGTGGTCTCTAAGAGAAGGTGGTCTTTCGACACAAGTCGGAATGTACAAGCACATGCATGCTGATGTGTGGTCTGGGACCATTGATGATTGGTTCTTAGGGTAGGTGGTCCTTCTAAACAGGTTGATACGTACATGTACATGTATATGCATACTGTTGCATGTATGGCCTGGGACCATCAATGAGTGGCCTCCAAGGGCAGGTGGCCCTTCTAAACAGGTCGGCATTTACATGTATGCGGCTCAGTTATCGTCCGTGACCTTAGATGGCCTGTCTGTCTCTGAAGACAGGTGTTCTTTCTGCACAAGTTGGAGGACACTCCCTCGCTTAGGCTTGGTTGGGCAGTCTTTCTGGTTAGCGTCGAAACTATCTGCCCGGGTGCGCCTGGAAACCTCGATGTGTGTATCGCCGTTAGAGCACACTGATGTTGATGCTTTGACTGTCGGTGTAAGAGATGCTCAGTTGTTGTTCGTTTGATTTCATTGAGATTGGTTCGGCCAGTAACTCGGAGTTCCGCTGACGTATACTGTAAAAGCAGAAATTTTCGGTGGTGTACTTGCAATAACGTTATTTTAGGTATTCTCCAAAATCGGCGGCTCGGTGGAGGGAAATTTCCGATAAACCTGCTTTCCAAGTAAGTATACTAACTAGTGCTACATGGATACTGAAATTTTCGGTGCGTTTTATTTTGGGTAAAAATTTCGGCACCGAAGTTACCGAAAATTTCTGCTTTTACGGTATGTACATGTATGCTCCAGTATGGTCCGAGACTCTGTCTGTGGTGGCCGGTGGGCTGTAGGTATGTATGCTCCAGTATGGTCCGAGACTCTGTTTGTGGTGGCCGGTGGGCTGTAGGTATGCATGCTCCAGTATGGTCCGAGACTCTGTCTGTGGTGGCCGGTGGGCTGTAGAGTAGCTCAGTTGGGAAGTTGGCGCTCGTGGAAGGTGCAGCTCCCTAAAGCTGTGGGAGGTGGGTGTAGATGAGACCCACTAGAGGGAGGAGCACTTTGGCACAATTAGTACCGGTAGTAGCAATGTTTTTGGCAGGAATAGTGGGATGGGTTAAGACCACGATTGAGAAACAGAGGGTACCAGGTTCAAGCTCTGCTTGGAAGCGGAAGGATGTTAGATACTGTGAAGGCAAAGCCACACGGCGCAAGTTTCGAAATGGAACAAGGCTACATTTCCGTTGCTACGCCGAGTTTCATGGCTATTTGGTCAATCATCAGACAGCAATGAAGCAGCGTTCCGTTGCAAACTTGCGCCGGCACCAACCTGTATATTAACACTCGCCAATCAAACACTCCACGGCACTGACCAGGCCACTTTTTTCAAATATAAACACACACTTTTAAATATACATGATATCTGTATTGAGCAATACAACAGGGCGAGAATCCTGCTAAGGGGGGGGGGGGGGGGGGAATGCCTCGACAATCCTACCGAGGCCGATATAGTGCAGGAGAAGTTGCCGGGATGAAGAGAAAAAAAGCATGGTGGGGGGGGGGGGGGGGCAACATTCATGACCAGAAGAATTGAAGTCATGTATGCATATGTACTGTGGAGACTAAGGCATTGCCTGCCAAAAGAAAATAGAGGCTAAGACGCAGCCGCTACTTGCCGGCTACGGAACAGTGAGTGTGTGGCTCGCTCTTAAGTCGCGATCCCGTACACACACAGATCGGCTACAACCCTTCGGTTGGAACGGACTTGAAAAGTCACGGCAGCCATAAAATATATACTGTATGGCCAAATTATTAATACCGGCTCGGATCAAAGAAAACACGGGAGAAAAAGAACAACACGAGAAAAGGACGGAGAAGCCAGAGAGACACTCATCAAACAGACTGCCACAGGAAGAGGAGAGGCAGGCCGAGGCTGAGATGAAACAATGAAGGGAATGCAGGAAAATACATAGATCGTCAGGGAATGCCCGCAGGTTAAATAGATGGGTGAAATTGCATTGCAAGACACATCCAAGTTGACTTTGGGCGGCGACTCCCGGAAAATACACGGTCAAATAGGCGGGAGAAATTGTATGACAAGACATACCCAAGGCCAATTTGGGTGGCGGCTCCCGGAAAATATACACCGACCTAGCCTGGTGATGATTGCATGCAGTATCACGGATATACAATGTAGCACGCGGAGATAGCGTGCATATATTTCTAGTAATCACACGGAATCTATATCGCCTTCTCCTCAGCGTGGTGCCAAGTATCACCATTACCCGAGGATACGACAACCGGCAACATTGCAAAGCGCTGCTGATGACAGTGGAGCTAACACATGCTGAACACTGGACGCGCAGCGTCTTGCCTGGCTCGGCGCCCATGATCGGGATGAGGTAGGCGCGCCATAAAAGCAGAGAGCGGCAGAGCGGGGACTCCGCTGATAGCACTGCTCGCTGCCTCACACGGCCTCGGCGCCCAAGGAGATGCCGCCGACAGCGTCGTATATGTCCTCCACCTCCGCCGGCAGAGATTTGTTTCTCGTTATCTTCGGAAGTGGCACGGGCCGTTCGCCGGGTATGGGGATCGTCACACGATTCGGTATGGAGTAGTCAATCGACGACTGGCTTTTCGTGTCGTCCGAAGGCTTAGGACTCTCCGTGCTTCTGCCAGAGTTCGTGTTGTCCTGCGGGAGCGCACGCAACGAGCCGTCCATCGCGGTCGGTATGGGGCTGTAGAACTCGTTGGGGCTCTGCGACCGCTGCTGCCCGGAGAGAGCAGTGGTGACGTCATTGAGCAGCACCGTGGTCTTCTGCCCCTGGCTGGGCGACGACGACCAGCGGCCATCGCTGTTAACATTGCTACGCATCGATCCACCTCCGGCCTTGCGGATCATCGATCCACCTCCGGCCTTACGGACTATTGATCCACCATCGGCCCTACGGATCATCGATCCGCTGCTGGCCTGGCTTCGGTTGTTGAGTGCGGAAGGCTGGCGCGACAGCAAATCGTTCACGCTCTCGTAATCGTCCTGAACGTTCGCCCGTTCTCCGTCAGGCCGAGAGTTTGAGCGATCAGGAGCGTCGGCGGTGCTGGCATTCTCCCCACCGGCTACGGCAGCGCTGAACACCGACACCCCATCGTAAATGTCCTCCTCTTGATCACGGCCTGCTGGGGGTAGCAGCACAGCATGTGCGTACAGAGTCACACACGTGCAAAGACATCAGTGCACACACACACACACACACACACACACACACACACACGCATGCGCACATACACACACACGCTCGCGCACACACAGACGCGTGCACACACACATACACACAAACGTGTGTGTATGCCAATACACACACACACACACACACGCACACGCACGCACGCACGCACGCACACACACACACACACACACACACACGCTAAATTCGACTTTTGCTGCATGAGTGTGTTAGAACAGACGAAGCTTACCGTCCATGCCCCCTAGATCGCCGTCCACTGTCGCTGCCACAATGGTCGGCAGTGGCTTCATGGCTGGGTCCTGTGCACTCTCCTCGCCCATCGTATCGTATAGGTTTTCTGTGAACAGAAGCACAGGGACGGATGTAAGTTCTCCCTGCATGTAACTTTGTTATCTTTCTTATCATTATTTTTTGTCTTAAGCCGGGTTTGTGTTCCTTGGAAAATTTGTTTAAAAAAAGTAGCAATGACAGCGGTGGCGACATCATAAGCAGCAGCAACGGCAGAAGCTGCAGGAGAGGTCCGCAAAAGCAGTAAAGGCAACAGCAGGAGCAGCAATTGCAGCGGAAGCAGCAGCAGCAGCAGAAGAAGTGACCCACAGAAGCAGCCGAGGCAACAGCAGCGGCCCTGGCAGAAGCTGGAGAAGAGGACGGCGGCGGCCGACAAGAAAGCCGCCAAAGAAGTGGCCTTGGCGACGTCGGAGGGCAATGCCATTTCCTATTCACAGTCATTTTATTGAATGGTGGCCGGCTGGCACAAGAACCTCAACTGCTCGTGTCCTTGTGCATGGTTATGCGCACAGGCTAATGGTGCGCAGCTTATGATTTTTTTTACTGCGTGGCTGTCTTCCACGGCCAAGCACAGCGTGCTAATGCGGTAGTTCGTTATTTTGTGTACGTCATGTGTACGTGGTGTCGGTGCATGCGTGTGTTGCTGTGGTGTGAAAAGCAGTCGTCGTCTCAGGTTTGTCATAACTCGAGTTACAACACGAACAGCACAGTGCTCACCTGCATTTGCTAGGTCATTCATGTTAACGGTCACTGCAAGAACAAGAAAGAAGCCAAGGAGAAACACTGTGATGTGTCACAGCACAAAGAACATCTCTGAGAGCAGTCTGTAAAAATGCCTGGGGTAGGGATAGGGGGGGGGGGAGGAGAGAGAGAGAGAGAGAGAGAGAGAGAGAGAGAGAGAGAGAGAGAGAGAGAGAGAGAGAGAGAGAGAGAGAGAGAGAGAGAGAGAGAGAGAGAGAGACTCAGAGAGAGAGAGAAAGAGAGAGAGAGAGAGAGAGAGAGAGAGAGAGAGAGAGAGAGAGAGAGAGAGAGAGAGAGAGAGAGAGAGAGAGAGAGAGAGAGACACACACACACACACACACACAGTTTAAATCAAGGAGTAGTAAAATACTGAGAGGAAGGTGATGCTCAAACTGGGCTGGAGCTGGCTACTGACTGGTGGCTGTTGAGATGCGTCGTTTTGTCTCCTTGTCCGCCGCACCCAGATCATCTTCAGCAGACGAGTACAGATGCAGAAACACACACAAACAAGCACACACACACACACACAAACAAACAAACACACACACGTAAACACACATATACACACAAACACACACATACACACACACACAAACACACACACACCACCCACACAGACACAGACACACACACACACACACACAGACACACACACAAACACACAGACACACACACACACCCCTCCCCCCACACACACACATAGACACACACAGACACACACAGACACACACACACACACACACACACACACACACACACACACACACACACACACACACACACACACACACACACACGCACACACACAGGGATGCAGATCAAAACGAGCACTGGGTTCACGGCAAAAGAGTTTAGCTGCACACTGGCTAGTACTGCACGAGGTGGCCTCTAGATTATTCATTATAACTTATAAACATACGCCCGAATTATGCACCCAGTGTGCTGACAGTGCTCAACATGGCGCATACTGTAAATATACAAATTTTCGGCAGCTATTTAATTTCGGCTATATTCGGCACCGACCCAAAACGCCTAAATTAAAAACGCCGATGACATTTTTCATAGCATCTGTCGCACTATACCATGCCCTCTACCCCACGCCGAAAATTAATCGCCTCCGAAATGTCAAAAATCGTGAAGTGCCGAAATTTTGCAGCGCCGAAATTTTGTATTTACAGTATAAGGAAAGAGTTTTCATGGCATCTTAGTTTTGTTATTCCTGTAGAACGGCTAACTTTAGCAGGTAAAATTTTAGCGTTTTCTGAATCTGGACCAATTCACGATGAAATATTCAACGATCCGAGTTTCAGACTTTAAAAAGAAGGATGACTTGTACTGTACATGCAAATTTTCGATTGATGCGGCAGAACTTTGGCAAAAACATTCCTTTTGCTAAAGTCGGTAAAATATCACCGTCGCTAAAATTAGCGGTTTTTACAGTATTTTGGTTGCTTTTGTATTGGTTTGGTTGCTGTGTCTGTTCTGTGCTCTGCGCGCTCAGTGTTCGTGAACGTGAATGTGGACGTCATTGTCACGTGTTTGATTTGGTCTGTGCTTTGTATTGCGCGTGCGAATATTTATTCTGCCAAGATGTTTGCTTTTTGGCTGTTCGGTTCAGTTCTCAGGTTTGCCTCGTCGTGTCCGGTCATGTTCGTCCGTCTCTCTGTCTTGTCTCAGCAGACACTACAGTATTTTTTAGTTTTCTTGTAGGTTGCATTTTTTTATACTCTTTTTTTGTACGCGTAATTTCAACAATTTTTAGTCTATCCATGTTGTGTGCGACGAGTCCGAGGGATGGGGAGGCTGGAGCCCTGAGGGATGGGGAGGCTGGAGCCCTGAGGGCAGGGGAGGCTGGAGCCCTGAGGGATGGGGAGGCTGGAGCCCTGAGGGATGGGGAGGCTGGAGCCCTGACGGCCTGGAAACAAGCTTCGGGTACACAACAGCTAGGGACCGGCGGATTCTGCTCGAAAAGGTGGCAGATTCTGCTCGAAAAGCAGTGAAATTGGCAGAACCATACAAACCTTATGGCGGGCAATTCCTCTAATTCTGCTCCATGTCTTTATCCACATACCAAACATGCATGATGAAACTTACCAGAAAAAGTACCGAATTCTGCCAATTTTTTCTGCCGGCAGAATCCGCCGGACCCTAACAACAGTTACCTTTAACCAATCATCCTGAATCGTGGCCAGCTGCCGCTGATGTTTCGAAATTCGATTTGATTATTACTTATTTATGCACACTCTCATAATATGGTGGTCGGTCAAGCCGAGCTAAGGGCTCGCCGACGCAATCCGGGCGAGTCTAGTCCAGAGCTGGGCGACACAAGTTTTAAATTTTAGCTGCATGAACTTATCCGGGGGGCTCCAGTCTCAAGATCCTTTTCGGGCCGTAGCCACTCTTGACACTTTAGATTCTGCTTTGGTTTTTTAAACTGGGGCGGCAGATATTTGAACCTGTATCAATAGGCGAGGCAGTTTGTAGGGCAGTTGTCCTGGAATCTAGGGTGAACGCACCAATGGATGTTAGCTGTGAACAACGCAGATCAGTCTTTGATATGGCTAATCTTTTAAAGTGAGACCGGTATTCTCTCGTCAGCTACCCTAAGACCACAGTCATATTTTAATTTTTGACGTCAATTATGTGTCATGCTAAAGGGGAAGTTCACCCTAAATAAAACATCGCACTTGTAGTGAAAAATGGACTGATTATGATGGTGAAGGTCCCAGGTTGATCGGAGCAGCCGTTTCCGACTTATACCTCTTTGAAGTTTGCACTAAATTTGGTGACATCATGATGGCATCATTAACTTGCCCTGACCAGGGCGGATTCATGATGTCAGAGAGATGGACTTTGTACGGGAGTAGGTGAGGAAGTTTGAGTATTTTGGTTCTCCATTGTTCCAAAGAAGGCGGATATTATTCAAACTTCGGTAGGGGACATATGGCACCCTACCGGTATCCCGACTGGGAAACAATTCTAGTATCAAATTCGTTGTTGCAGAGAAACACAAGAAAGAAATTGTTTTTCTCCATCTACTCCCATACAATGTCTATCTCTCTGACGTCGTAAATCCGGCCTAATCTGGGCAAGTTTGAATTCTTCATTCTCACGATGGCACCATCGCCAATAAGACAGTTAGTGACGTCATCGTGATGTCACCAAATTTAGTGCAAACTTCAAGCTGGTATAACTCGGGAACAGCTGCTCCAATCAACCTGGGACCTTACCATTGGAATCAGTGCATTTTCGCCACAGATTGTGAAGTTTCCGGTTTAGGGTGAACTTCCCCTCTAGAATGATCTCCAGATTTTTGTTGATCGGCGTGGTGAAATTCTAACGAATTCTGCCCGTCAAAACTTCAGTGATGAGTGATGTTGAGTCATATGAGCTCGCTACTGACGTCATACTGAACCGCACGGAGTAAGAACGCTTACCCATCACGGCATCGTTAAGTAGAGTGCCGGAGGCGAACGGCAAGCTGCGTGGTTTCTGAATGTCTGCCTTGGCACTGAGCTGGCGCCTGTACAAAAAAAATTGGACACAAAGCAAGGACAGCAGGCCAATAGGGTTTGGAAACTTGCACAGTCAAAAGTCAATAAATAACGACTTCTGAGTCAATTTGGATCCCATCTGACCATATCAGAGTTGTGAAGCTGATTAGTTTGCCCCATCACGTCAGAAGTCAAAAAAAATGACTTCTGGGTCAATTTAGACAATCGTTACCTTTCGTACACGTAAACCAGTCAATTTTGGGAAATCGTTATAATATGCGCCTCGTTAGAATAATGGCTTTTATCACATGGCATGTGATTGTTGCCCGTACTCCAGCGAATCAGCACCTTTCGCGCTGCGGGCAATAATATGCGATATTGACCGCAAAAAATAGTTTATTTGCCCGCAAAAAAATAGTTTATTTTCAGTGATCACGTGACTCGACTTCGACGTGACTGTGTAGACTGCACTGTACGGCTCTACGAGTCGCAGTGCAGTATCGAGACGAAGATGAAATTCTTTTTGGAGATGAAATGGACATGGCCTCCGACTTCTGCCGTGTGGTGCTTGCAGGGATCATTTGTTCAGTCATGTTGGCAGCCTGACCGTCGGTAAGCTTGTGGATAAGATTCAGTTCTGCTCGATGTGGTACTGTGATCACAAACAATTATTTGAAATAACACCAATTCAACTCAGCATCGTGCGTATTCAGATCCTCGCAGTCACTGCCTTTGCGTGGTCTTCCTGTGCCACGCAAAACTCTTACCAGGCTCATCTGTCCTCTGCCTTCACCTTTGCTTGAACAACAAACACAACAATTCAGGAATGTTTTGCAATCAATCGGAAAAATACAGCTATGTGGAGCTGAAAAAAAGAAGAAAAATTGTGCTCAGAATTACACACCAGGGAGTTGTCAAATACTTGCAGTACTGTATTTGGCGACTTCTTGATACACATGTAAACATGAAGAAACTCTTTGTAGTAGCATTCTTAATTTTTCAACTGAAATATTAATTATGATTCTGCTGTGTTCTATTGTGGTTGCCATGTCTATTGCTATGACGATGCCGTGCCGGCTCGTTTCTTCTGGCTCCGTCTTTCAGTACTGCGTGCTCTCTGATGGCCTGTAGGAGACATTTTGTTTAGTGTGCAGAATTTATATCTTCATTTTTCCTGTTTTGATAATGATAGCACATCAATATACATTGTGGTCATAATGTGTTGGCATTTGGGCTAATTTCAACAGCAGCCCAATGGTATGCTCTGTGGGCCATGTGATAAATTTGTTACCGCATGGTTGCTGCGGGCCTTATGGCATAGTATTGCCCCTCGAGGTTAGCCCTCGGGCTAACCTGTCGGGGCAATAATATGCCATATTAAAGGCCTTCGCAACTAGGGTTGCCCCGATTCTGTGCTTTTTTTGTGGAAAAATTGAAATGCAATATGCGGCCAAATCTTATCAAAATGTATATCGTCTTTTTTGAGGCTGCGTTCGTTTTTAGCTACCTGGTAGAGTGGAGTAGAGTCACTCTACCGATAGAGGTAGATGGTAGAGGCAAGTGTACGAACGCTGTTCTACCAGATCTAGTAGTTTACACGATGTGTACGTGAAATGTTTCTTTTTTTTGGAGTTGTGTACAAATCCTTGATCTTGCTGGAAATCCCGTAGCTCTACCAACTTCTACCGGATTCTACCAACTTTTTCCCGGTAGAGCCGGTAGAGGAAAGTAGAATCTACCCTTTTGAGTAGAATTTTTTTTCAAAAAACGAACACCTCTACCGTAAGAAGTAGTTTCTACCCAAACCTGTAGATCAAAAACGAACGCCCCCTATGCTTTTCTAAAATTTTCTAAAAAATTCAATTTTTTTAGCCAAACCGCGGAAAAAATTCGTCCGTTACCATGACAAATAAAGCTTCATTTCGCGTTCCCTGCAAGTTTCGCGGCCAAAGTTGCGAAAGTTCGTGCGAAGTTTCTCATTTCGTGACGTAGAGCGAAAGTGTTCGCACAAACTTTGTGTTCTGCACATTTTCATTTCGCGTTCCCTGCAAGTTTCGCGGCCAAAGTTGCGAAAGTTCTTGCGAAGTTTCTCACTTCGTGACGTAGAGCGAAAACCCCCAGGAAAACCACCTTTTTCTGGGTCGAAACCGTGCAGAAACAGGCAAAATTCGAAAATGCAAAAGTGGGGTAGATTTACCCCAAAATGCAAAAAAAATGGAAAACAGAATCTGGACATCCCTATTCGCAACCATGCGATAACTTATACGTACAGTAGCTGTTAGTTTGCCCCATCACGCCAGAAGTCGACAAATAACAACTTCTGGATCAATTCGAATCCAACCTGACCATATCAAGAGTAGTTAGTGTAGCTCATTAGTTTGCCCCATCACGTCAGAAGTCTATAAATAACGAATTCTGGGTCAAATTGAACTATCACCAAAAGTAGAGAGCAATGGTCGGCAGACACTTTTTAAAAGGTTTTAAGATGGTGCTGCTGCTGCGCATCCATGTACTTACTTTCTGAAGACCACGATTATGGCAATGATCATAGACAGTGCCAGTGCACCGCACACACCACCCACCACTGGCAACACGACCGAATCATTTTCTGTCGCCAGGGGAGAGAAGAAGAGAAGCACAGAATTCATGCCTAGCCTGCCATTAATTCAGTTCTTAACTTTTTGAGCGGGATTCACAGAAGCATTTTCGCGATGCGATGTGCGACGCGACGAGCGCGGAACCGGAAAATCCCCAAATCACATCCATCCTGCAGCTCATGCCTCTGTCACCACCGGCCCATCGCAGAAGTTGAGCCAAGCGATGCGGTATGCGGTGCGAGGTACGATTTTGACCATTTTTGCAGCAAAGTTGTACTTCAGTACAACATTTTAAAGGTTCTGTCGTCGGGGCCATCTTATACTATCTTTCCACTCGGACGATATATATATTTTGTTAAATTTTTTTTACAATGATCACAGATCACAGGCAAAGACGAAAAATCGCATAGTGGGAGCTTAGTGATGGTGAGGCTTTTTGCCCTCTAGCCGACCTGAGGTCTCGACGTCATGGGGACATAAAACGCACTGACAAAAAGAAGAAGAAAAAAGAAAAATATGCCCTCCTGCCTACTCTCCCATGTAGACTCAGACACAGAGGACGGGTTAGTTGTTGTTTTACCGAGAGTCTCAAGAAGAAGGCCCTTGGGAACAAAATGCGTACACGTACACATAAAACTTATTTAATGAAGGGCGCATGCGCTCTGCGGCGCAGCCTGCACAGTCTGCGCGCGCGCGGTTCGCACGCCGTCCGCGCGGACACAGCGCACACAGAGCACATGCGCCAAAACTGGACCGACCTCACAGAGGTCACGGACAAACAGTTCAAGAGTTGATTGTAGATTTGTAAAAGTTGTACCCAGGCACAGGAATACCATGGCGACGTACTCACCTGCATTCAGCTTTGTGACAAATCAGCAAGGCGACGCCACAT